TAAACACAGCTAGTCCACATGCATATTAACATAAAACAACTGTATTTAAAAATTCTCTCTGGTGCAATCAAAGTGTATATTGATCTTAAAAATTACAGGAATAAGCATACCAATTAAGTAGTTTGTCCCGGATCCCTAGGGTAGAATAGTGATTGGCTGTACCGATCAGAATTATAAACTTGATTTTCATCCTACGGAGCAACTTTTTGTTTCTTCTGTAAGAAACATGTTTGCTGAGTCAATGCTAATGATACAGTGAAAGAATTTTTAAACACAATATGCACATGTATTTAAGAGCATAATTTTTGTATCTATTAAGAAAAGATTCTTCTCATATTTCTTGTATTTAAAAATTGATGAAATTTTCATAGAATCAAGAAGACATAATCACTAAGTTATGGTATCAGTAAGATTAAATTTGACCGTTTTAATTTAGAACCAAGGTCAGGTCAAGGTCATATCTTTTTCCTTCACTTTAACAATATAGAAAATACTGTTTCCAATCATACAATGCCTACTTCTATTTCAAAAGTTAAAATGTTTTTCTTTTTGCGTGAAAAGCTACTACCATATAGGGTCTTTCAGATGCTGCATAATTCAACTAAAACAGATATTGGCTAATCCGAATTTAATTCAATTTTTCTTTAATTTTTAGGAAATTTTAGTCATTTTTATATGCTTCGTTATTTAAATTTTTCTTATTTTTACATGTGGTAAAGCAGTCATATAAAGATACAAGCTGATACAAAACAAAAAGTTTTGACCGTTTACTAAGGGAGAAAAAACACTTTTTACAGATTTTTTGCTCAAATCTTTACATAGATTGAAAGCTTTTAAAGGCTAATCAAATTTGTAGTTTATTTGTAAAATCATACTTATTTGATATATAATAAAACTTCAGTTCATTATTATTAATTTTACTTACATTTGATTTTTTTAAAAAAATTCTTTGATTGTTTGAAAATTTTAATTAAATTCATTGTTCTATAGTAATTTTGAGAAGCAGAAAAGGAGATTTTTTCAAACGCTGAAAAAATATAGTCCCTACTAGATTTCAAACCCAGTTTACCATTTCTATTTAAAGTTGTACAACTATGATGAGGAAAGAAAAATAAAATTTTTTAAATCACTTACATGTAAATATATAAGACAGATAAGCAAATACACCTCGAATATTTCATCTAGTCAGAAACCAGACAAGAATCCCTCCTTCAGGAAAATATAAACAAAAAATTGAAAAAAAAAGTTGATAATTGGACATACCGATTATGGAGAGACATGATATAAGCAGTAGATTCCAAAAATATAAAGAAATTGTAGGGTTTCTTTGGTGTTCAAATAAGAGATTTCGTGCCATTTTCTATATAAATCTTTTCAAATCTTTCTATGACACTATCATAAAAAACCAAAAATTGTCTGCATTGGCAAACATTACTGAATTAATATATGTGAACACAAATTTAATATTTATAGTGTTGTTTCCGGGGGAAAAGTTGGTTTGTGTTATCTATCCTTACTCAGGAGTGTCAGAATTTTCCATCGCTAACTTGTGGGCTGTAGAAACTATAAAAAAAAATTAAAGAAAATGTCTTAAAATGTTGACCAGAGAATTTTTATAGAACCATTTACACATTTATCAAAGAGATACTAATGGGAAAAAAAAAACAAATTAAAGATTGGCTTAATGATTAATACATAAATATACACCATAGCTTACCTTGGAGAAAACCTTACAGCACTTCCTGCATTGAACAATTTCATACAAACTGCAGATGGATTCACTCATTTTCTGATTATAAAATACACTTTATATTCATTTCTATATTCTAATTTACCATTTGACCTTCATTAGTCATATAGTTAGTGTCACGTGACCTCCGTTAGTCATATGGTAAGTGTTACGTTTGCCCTCGTGCATTTTTTGCAATTTGCATCATTTTAGAATTTCATGTTTATTTTTTGCTTTTAAACGTTTTTTAAATCAACATATTTTTATTTTTCACTTATAATATAATATATTATATTTTAATGTAATATAATTTAATATAATATAATATTTATATAACAGTGTTGTACTTTGAATGTACTATGCCTAAATAGTAGTCTGGGTTTGACACAGGGTGCATGTGCCGGAGGCGTGTGCACTATGTGTCAAACCCTGACTACTATTTAGGCATAGTACATGCAAAGCACCACACTATTGTCATTATTATGCGACTGTTTTATTAAAACGACAATTTAAAAATTCCCGTGTGCAGAGGTATAATCTCATTGATTTTTATTTACGTTCCCTTACTTAGCTTCATAAGATCAAGCGTATTCAATATTCCCTGGACTCAGTTTGTGTGTTGATGTGTAAACTGCTAAAATAATAAGTGCAAAATATGTTTGAATTTTTTTTTTCAATTTCCACTGTTTCATCACCCCATTACGGTGATTCTTATTTGGGTCTCAAACATGTTGGTACACTCCTATTATGACGTCACGTTGTGCTTAATATAGCTAGGTATTTTGTCCCTTATGTCTCATGCAGTTAAGTATAATGTACATATAGATTCAAAGAATACTAGATGAGAAAATGGGGGAAAAGTTACATAAAACTGTTTAGAAAAATTATTTTGTTTTTCTTTTAGTGTCAAATATATAAAACTACGTTTATATACAATATAATAGAATGTTTAAGATAACGGCGTCCATGGCGTACCGGTAATCGGTAGCGCGTCGGACTGAGTTTGTGAGTTCGATCGATCCCCGGCGTGAGTGCTGTCGGATTTTCTTCAGAAAAAGAAACCGCGCAATATTTCGGCATAGTATGCTTACGCTGTATAAATCCTCAGAACACTAAGCGATTATAGTTGGGTATTGATTACATAGAGACAAACTGACAGGAAGCATAATGAAATATATATTTACAAATATTTACATTTGCTATGTTTTTCTACTAAGCCAACTGTGAAATTGATTTGAATGCCATTTTATGCGTAGAAATATGCACGGAGAAACTCGCTAAAGCGCTTTATGAAATATGCCTACGTGACAAGTCTGTGTGATTTACACACCAATACTCTCACAAAACTTAAAAACATTCCTTAAATATAATATTATTAGTTACACAGTCAGTTAGGGACCTAATTCGGAGTCATACAGCGTGTGAAATGGAAATCCGGTACGGATTTCCATATGGAGAAATGGTGTTCATTCTGCTGATTTGCATATCGGCCATTTTGGAACTGTAATGGCGGCCGAATTTATAAAGGTTTATATAGAGAAAATACAAAAAATCGCGAATTTTCATATCCTAACTATTTCTTCCGCCGATGGTTTGATTCTTCTTAATATCTACTACCGGAAATGACAAGATTGTTGATACCAAAGTGAAAGTAGCGACCGCCTTTTTGATTTGAAAATTCGAAGCGAGAGTATATTGTTTTAATGAAGGAAAGAGCACAGAATTGGTGCTTTTATCATTTTTCATGAGGAAATGTAAGTGTTTATTACAAGTTGACAGAGTTAAAGGTGCAGGAGAGAGCCCATTTTTATAAAATACATATGTTTTACCATTCCATGAGGAGTTACAACAGCCTTTTTAATTTGAAAACGGCAATTTTTTGCATCAGTGTGACCTAATTTATATCAGGAAAACGGTGTCCCGAGTCGTAAGCTGTTATTCACACAAATTTCTACCCATATAGCTATGACAGAGCCTTGAAGAAAAATCAAAACGAAAAAGGCTTGCAGGTTTTAACATAAAAAATTAAATAAATGGAATTTCGAGTTTATTCAGTATTTTATGAATATTAATGAGAAATAAATCACGTGGAAGCAATCTCATGAATAAATTGCACACAATATCTCCATATGCCATTTCACACACCTACATGACTCCGTAATAGGTCTCTTACTGACCGTGTAACGAATTTATACCGCTGAAGACCTTAATTAATATTTTAAAAAATCTATGAGCATATTATCAAAATATCAAGTTTTAATCCAATAACAATCAACATAGAATATCATAACTGGTAACAAGAAATTTAACTACCTATGCAAACCGTTTCTTAGCGCCATTTTTATTTACAATAATGACACTTCGAACGGAATAGCGTGTCCAATTTTAATATTACTCCTGGACGGAGACGTAATACGGAAAATTTCAGGGCGTCATTTGATTAGCTGTTATCCAATCAGTAATCAACAAATTTGTCTGAAGCGGGAAAAAAGATAGTATAATATAATATAATATAATACAATACAATATAATATAATATAATATAATATAATATAATATAATATAATATAATATAATATAATATAATATAATATAATATAATGTAATGTAATGTAATGTAATGTAATGTAATATCATATCATATCATATCATATCATATCATATCATATCATATCATATCATATCATATCATATATCTTTTATGAAACGTTGACATTGTTTACAGAAGAAATTTTAAAAAGAAAAGCTTAAAAAAAACTTAATGGCCTACACGTTTATCCTTAACACTGCAGAAAACATTTACGTGCCTGTCTAAACTACAAAGTTGTTGAATTTATGACAGGTAGGAAATTGATACAAATAAAGGAATGCTTCATCATAAAAATATATCATAATGAAGACGCCTCTCGGTTAAATACATTAAGATTCAACAATCACTTAAGTTTTGAATTTTTGGTTAACGATCGTTACAGAATTAAATAAAAACATAGCTTCTTTAGAAATTTGCGTATAATATATCAATATTGACAGTAGAGATGGTCCTACATCTACCGCAGCGGGTTTCCATTCCTGATTACCGATATCTCTCTGATAACTAGCAAAGAACCATTTATATTTTTTTTCCAATTGATCAGTTTTATTGATTTCTTAGGATTTAAAACTTTTCCAGAGCTACATGTATAATTCATCAGCAAGATTCCGTTTTAGCAGCCGACGACAGAAGCTGAAACAGACGACAATGGATCGGGTGGGGGTGACTGCAGTGCGAGATTCAAGGATGTCCTTCCGAAACTTTCTTATCCTGACTGTGATACTTTACACCTTTCCTCAACAAGGTAGGAATTAATATTCTCTTATTTTCCCTTAATTATCTTTTCATTCCATCTCTCTGAATTATAAATTTTGAAAGATTATTTGTCCCTGATATTATAGAGATCAAGTAACGATTAAGTCTTGGCGGTTATTTCCTACAATCAATATTTTGTTTCATATTTTTCTAAAAAAAAAAAATCAATGCCTTATTATTGTTCATTCTAAACAATAAATATATTCATCTCTGTTCGATCGCTACCGGTCTCTCTAATAACAGAGTGACTAGGCAATCACAGTTTTATTATCAGCTCTGCGTTTGTGTAAACACTGGATTTAGCACTTCAAACAAGAACTTTAAAATATTTCTGTGAAATACGGTCATGGAATTCTTTTAGTATAATAAATATGTGCATGTTTTCGACATTAAATCTTTCATCTTTATAGAAATCTTCTGTCATAAAACTTACTTAGAAGAAATGAAACCAATGACAGTAGAATAGACGAAACACTTTACAAGTCTAATAAGTAGCAGGGAAATGAATGTTTATAAATCTTATGTATATCAAATATTTGGAGAAATACATCTACCAATGTGAATTAAAATCGCGATTCTTAAAAATTAGAAAAAAAAAGTTATGTATTATATGCATACTGAAACTCAAAATAATGCTTTCTAGAATTATTATACATCCACACTCCCATACACACAAGCCATAGCCATTGCGAATAAAGTCCGTCAGTGGTGAAAAGAAAGGATTTTTTCTTTTTAATTTTACAATAAAACGGCTTAGAGCGTTTTCTCAAACCAGAAGAATCGCAATTTTTTTTTTTGGAGAGACAGGATACTGACAAATCAGTTGATGCTACAGTGCTTTTAACAATCTCATTTAAAGTAAGCATTTCTCAGATCTATGGTCGTTATAATGAATTTAGTTGCAAATACCTTTTATTTTGGTCATTTTTTGATAAACATGTTTCATACCAAATGTATAAACCTATGACTATGCATTACCTTATCCAAACAAAGGTCTATAGCTATAGGTGGGTGAGATCGGTTGACAGGGGATGTTTACTTCTGATTCTAACTGTGGGGTTTCTAGGGGGTTCGAATTTTCCCCCTATTTCCCGACGACTTCTGAGATTGATCGCTGTTTGATATCTTTACCTTTTTCATGTAAATCATTATGATAAAGAAACGTACTGAAATTTATTCAGTATCTACAGGTGTACAGAAGATTTATCATTTCTTTTAAAATGCATGGTTACCACTTCAATCTTCAAAAAATATATTTAATGAATTATTTGCAAGCTTTCATCATTAATTGGAATTTAAGCAGAAATAGAAAAGATTTCTAAAATACTACAATATTCCATTTTTTTGTTTCAGTCAATAAATGAAAAGGTTTTGCATTTGCTTTGCATTTTAACGATAGACTTTGGAATATCTTTTCTGATAAACTAAAGGTATTGAATTTGATTTTGACTGGTTGCTTTATTGAAAATATTGATTTTCATAAATATAGAACAGTGTTAAGAATGAACACAATCTTTGATAAACATGTAAATTTACTTGTGCTAAAGCCCATTATTATATGTGTATTGTATTAAAATAATTTTATTTTTTTTTTTTCAAGTATAAAAAATTGGGAATTTTTATGCTTTCGAACATAAATCACAAACGTTTCACAGACTAAAATTAAAATAATTAGATTAAATTATTAGACTTTTATATGAAGTTATAACAAAAGAAAAAATGATAAATTTAGTAACATAGTTAAAATATGGAAAATACTATTCAGAAAAAAAAATCCCTCCTGAAACCATGGACACTCACATAAATCGCCGATCCCCATTGGTCATAAATCAAGCAATGGCTGACTCTATAGACCAATTAAGAAACTTCTTTATTACTTATGACACCCGCTCCCCCTATTTCAATATCTTTGAGATTCTTCATCATTTAAAAATACTAAAATTTGCTTGTTTACTGGTTTGATATTTAATAACATTCAGCACATGATGGCTCCTCAATTATCTCTGTGGTGATAAAATCCAGTGTATTTTAATAACCATGATTGATCATTTCTATAAGAATCGTTTTCAACCTTCACTAGTCTTTTCTTTTCATTTAAATGAAAGTAAATTACATGAATCTTACTACTGAAGTACAACTTACCCATACATATGATAGACATGTAATATAGAATTCACTTTTACTAACGTTATCTTAATGTACCTGAATATAAGATATATCAACCTTATTGGTACCATATATATTTCATTAAAGATAAGGTACACTACAGAGAGATAAGCTTAATGAATTATGGCTTGTTTATAAACAATATAAAATGCTCTGATTTATACATTGAAGCATAAAAAATAAAACAATATTGATATTGCTTACTCAAACTTTTGACCTGTGTTTGTCCCTGATTTTACCGGCTGAACTGGTAGCACGTTCAGTTAACGTTTATTCTAAAATACAGTTTTAATAATGAGGTCTCATCAGAAACACCTGCAACTTTCATTTCGCTTGGCAATGAAACAGGTGTTACCCATATTTTATCGACTTAGGTCTGTCGCTACAGGGACTTGAACTCACGACCTTCTAATAACGTAGCGGGCACCCTGTCACAATGCAACGTAACCCTGACAGGTCAGCACACTTTATTTTTAGATTTGATACAGGTAAAATTTGTTCAATTCTTTCTCAAACAATTAACTTCAATTACTTCAGCTCGGCCTCAGGTAGAATTTCGTACACGTGTTTCACACATATCTAACGAATATTATTTCAATTGATTATTAGAAAATACATTCAAATAAATGTGTTTAATTCATGAGCAAAATTCTCCGGTCGTTTAGCAATGGACAATGAATATGCTAAAAGGGGGAATATGAAACATTCCCAGCTTATAAATTGGAAGAAAACATAAGTGTATTTTGAAGATTGTAAATTATTTATTAGAAATTCTGCAACATGCAACGGTTCTCTATACATCCCGAGAAAGTGCACCAAAGTGTAGAATGATACATGTTGTTTATAGACAAATATGAATTTACTCTGCAGTGAAAACTGTTTTCTGTTTTTAACGCATTATTGATGGGTGCTATGTGTGCAACACAACAATAATTAATGCCAGAGAACTTGAAATAATTAAAAGACCTTTAAGCTAGCGGAAAGAAAAAAGAAATTTGGAAAATATTTAGTTCCTAGTTTGCAAGTGTTGTTTTATCTTTATGCCTTGCTGTGCTTGTTGGGCTGTATTGAATATTTGTACTTACTCAGAAAACTTCTTAACTGCATACATACACATCATCAGCAGATACATGTATATTTTAAAGAACTTAGGTCAAGAAGTAGACAAAATATGTCAGAGGTGATTACCTGAGTAGTACTAGAACAATTCCAGTTTTTTTTGTTTTTATTAGTGTTTCCTTCCAAAAATGATTGTTTAATTATAGAGATGACTAATTCCATCAATGTTGGGTGTTTGATTAGAGATGACTGATTCTATTAATGTTGAGTGTATGATTAGAGATGACTGATTCCATCAATGTTGAGTATTTAATTAGCGATTACTGATTTCATCAATGCTGAGTGTATGATTTGAGATGACTGATTTCATCGATGTTGAGTGTATGATTAGAGATGACTGATTTCATCGATGTTCAATGCTTAGTTACAGATGACTGATTTCATCAATGTTGAGTGTATGATTAGAGATGACTGATTTCATCAATGTTGAGTGTATGATTAGAGATGACTGATTTCATCGATGTTGAGTGTATGATTAGGGATGACTGATTTCATCAATGTTGAGTGTATGATTAGAGATGACTGATTTCATCAATGTTGAGTGTATGATTAGAGATGACTGATTTCAACGATGTTGAATATTTAATTAGAGATGACTGATTTCATCAATGTTGAGCTATTCAAGTATGGCGAGCTGGGAAAATGTTTGAAGTAAATCTTTAGTGGGAAGCTGCAGAGTAACTTGTAAAGTATTTTTTTTTCAAAAATGTTTAATTCTTGATTATATAATAAAACGGTAATTGACTTTTGAATTCGTTTTACTCGTGACTATACGAACCTGATCAGGTATTCGTTAACCTTGGCCTTCGGCCTCGGTTGACCAATATCTGACCAGGTTCGTAAAGTCACGACTTTACTAAGTCTGTGAAAAAAGTATAGAGAACGTCATACTTAGTCAAAATACCTTTGTGAAAATTTTCATGATGTTACGGAATCCAAAATAGGAAGGGTAGATCGAACTCACCTTAGTTGACTGGAATGTTAAAAAGATTAAAAACTGACATGTGATTTTGAAAAATTTCATCCTTAAAAGTGAACTGTGGGTACAGGTTGGATTTCCAGACGTAGAATCAAAACAAAGTTCTAAAATACAGTTATAATAATGAAGTCTCATCCGAAAGATCTGCAACTTTCATTTCGATGTGCTAAGAGCTTGGCGAAGGAACAGGTGTTACCCATATTTTGTTGTCTTAGGTCTGTCGCTACAGGGACTTGAACCCACGACCTTCTAATAACAGAGCAGGCACCCTGTCACAATGCTACTGAGACCCTGACCGGTCAGCATACGTTATTTTTAAATTTGATATAAATAAAAGTTGTTCAATTATTTTTCAAGCAATTAACTTCAATTACTTCCTCTCGGCCTCAGGTAGAATTTCGTACACGTGTTTCACACATATCTAACGAATATTATTTCAATTGATTATTAGAAAATGCATTCGAAAAATGTGTTTAATTCATGAGCAAAATTCTCCGGTCGTTTAGCAAAGGATAATAAATATGCTAAAAGGGGGAATATTAAACATTCCCTGTCTATAAATTGGAAGAAAAAATAGGTGCATTTAGAAGATTGTGAATTATTTATTAGAAGTTCTGCGACATGCAACGGTTCTCTATACACCTAGAGAAAATGCACCAAAGTGTAGATTGATAAATGTGGTTTATAGCCAAATATGAATTTATTCTGCAATGAAAATTGTTTTCTGTTTCTTTAACGCAATATTGATGGGCGCTATGTGTGCAACACAACAATAATAAATGCCAGAGAACTTGAAATAATTAAAAAGACCCTTAAGTTAGCCGAGAGAAAAAGAAATTTGGAAAATATATAGTTCCTAGTTTGCAAGTGTTGTTTTATCTTTATGCCTTGCTGTGCTTGTTGAGCTGTATTGAATATTTGTACTTACTCAGAAAACTTCTTAACTGCATACATACACATCATCAGCAGATACATGTATATTTTAAAGAACTTAGGTCAAGAAGTAGACAAAATATGTCAGAGGTGATAACATGCAAAGTACCAGAACATTTCCAGTCCAAAAATGATTGTTTAATTATAGAGATGACTGATTCAATCAATGTTGAGTGTTTAATGAGAGATGACTGATTCTATCAATGTTGAGTGGTAAATTAGAAATTACTGTTTCCATCAGTGTTGAGTGTTTAATTAGAGAGACTGATTCCAGTCATCAGTGTTGAGCTTTTCAAGTATGGCGAGCTTGGAAAATTTGGAAGAAAAAACTTTAGTGGGAAGCAGCAGAGTAACTTGAAAAGTATTTTCCAAAAATATTGTTAAATTCTTGATTATATAATAAAACGGTAATTGACTTTTGAATTTTGTCTACTCGTAATTATACGGACTTGTTTAGGTATTGGTTTACCGCGGCCTTCGGCCTCGATCAACCAATACCTGACGAGGTCCGTATAGGCACGAGTAGACCTCGTCAAAAATTAAAGTTAATAGTTGTATATTGCTACAGAATGTAAAAAGTCATAACTTTATAAGTTACTGAAGCCAATATTACATTTTTTGGAAAAAATGAAATTAAATCATTGGATATAGGTAACTCTTGATGGCTCTAACTTCGATCGCTTGAAGTGAGTCTTTTCCATACATAACAAAGCAAAACTCTTAATCTATCAAACTCTCAATCTCTTCAAACCCTTGATCTCTCGAAGTCAAAATACATTCTCTCTATGCATCTATTTTACAATCTATTGTAATTCACCCTAGATACCTCGAAGTGACTTTATGTACACAAAGGGTTACCACATTAACAACTTTACCTGGACATTTAAATGGCTTCAGGCCATAAATTAAACGCGTGATCCGTGAAACGGGATGCTTATTCAAGAGATTGCAAGGTGATAATTGATCATATGTCAGTCTGCTCTTAGAATAATTAACATCGACCGTCCTACGATAATTTAGAGATGCAGTGATATGTAGAAGTGGGTTATGTAAAAAAGTATACTAATTTTGAGTTAGAGTTAAACTTTGATGAATAATAAAAGATACAGAAACTATCCATAACAACATAATTGTCACTATGACGACTGTTGCTGAACAACTACATACAGAACTGTGTTCGATGATACGTAATATGATGTTCGTCATTCTTACATAGAATAAATAAATATAATGTTAATATACATTTTTGGCTTTATTCAATTTTCAAAAAAAAAAAAAAAAATCCAGATCTGTATATCCACCTGAAAAAACAAAACAAAACAAAGGAGTGTCTGTGTTAAACATGCTAAAGCACGTGTATAAGATTTACCTGTATTTTTCGGCTACATATAAAAGCATACTTTATAAACATCATTCTGACGCCATAGCTTTGCTTTGAAGTCATTTGTATCTCCTTATATACATGTATATCTTAAAAAATAAAGGTAAAAGACATATTAACAAGTAAAATCCTTCCAAAGAAGGAGAAGGTTCAACGATCAAAGTTGAAAGGTTTAAACGCACTATGAAAACTTGTGAAATTTTAATGATCTCTTTTAAAAATCAATATGCCATACTGACTGATAATCATTTATACATGTTCTTATACAACTCTTTCCGGACTGTTTCCTCTTATATTCCATCTGAATATAATTGTGATTCACTTTCTTCTGATTCTTAGATGTGTACAACTTTTGGTATACTGGAAACACTGAAGATGAACTAAAAAGAAAACTAAATTTGAATTAGATATGTTTGATGATTATAAAAATAAAATATGTTTAAACTCTGAATTATGTAAAATAATCTAAAATATAGAAATCATTATTTATATGTTCAAATATATATACTCTTAGAGAGCATTCATGATCAGCCATATTTCAATTTTTTTTTTTTAATAATCGAGATCAAGAGTAATTAAGGTAATATTTACATTCTATTTCTTTATTACATCAGAAACAAACAAAAAGGTAATATATTCATACTGTAATATAATAAGAGTGTTCGATTAACAGGTTTTTCAGCTGCGCCAGGTACACTCACCCCCAGTGTTGCTGTGAAACCTGCATACTCATCCGTGACTGACCTTTACATTGGGTCAAAGGTCGAATTCACTCTCACCGTGGGATTTCCCGCCGGAACTACAGCGGGTGTAGTAGTGGAGATTCTGCCCTCCACAAACGTGACAGTGATGGCAGTCGGCGATGTGAATATGACTAGAGGTAGCAATCTGGATATTGACCCGAACATGAAGATGGTGTACCACCCAACAGAGGACTCAAAAGACGTGAGTAGGGTTTATGATACTTTTAGACCACTACTTTATTAAGAAACCCATAATGATACATGTTTTGATAACATTTATCATTTCTATTGATCATTTTCACGAACATCGAGGAATATTTTGTTTTGATCGACAGCAAGTCAATCACAGTTCGTCCCATCAAAATAGCCCATAAAATGTAACACTTTGTGTCACTTTAAGCTATGGATTAGCTTACTCGCTATAAATAGGGAATTTCGTGTAATTTCATTACATATTATGTTCATTTGGTTACATTATGTATAATTTTTTTTGCTATGGAGCCATGGCAAAACACTTCTGAAACGGAAGTATACTTCTTCTTTTTAGTGAAAGTTAGTTTGTTCATTAGTGCTTCGAGTTAAAAAAGTTAATTAATAGAGTCGATCATTACCTGTTATGTGCATTCCAAGTCATTTCCAAGTTTGAGAATCTGTAACATACCTCTGATATTAATCTTGCTACTGACTTTCCTTCCTTTATTTCAGAGAATTATATACACTGTGTTTCTTTTCCTTTGTAGACTGCCTTTAAAATCTATACACGCGGTGTATACAATTTTTCGAACGTATATAACAGCGAGACGTCTGGGACAGACGCGGAAAACAATCTTGTAATTAACTATGAAGCTTTTGTGGTATCGCTGGACGGGATATCAGATGGCGCTACCCACTGGGTCAGCGCTGGGATTGAATATAATAACAGCTACAACGTATGGATAGGTCAGGTGTCTTACATCATGAGGTCAGCCACCAACCCTGTAAGTTTGTCAGGTGTTCCTCACCAACAAAATAACCCACTCCATCTTTAAATATCATTTGGACATTCCGTAATATGTAGTCATAAACTTCACAATAGATATTACCAGACAATCCTCTAATCATAGGCAATTTACGCTTTTGGCAAATATTATCAAAACTTTCCCACGTGTTAACTTCCTCAGCAGGGAAGAAAGGAAACATATGGCCTATTTGACCCGAATTATTTTGATTGTTTTTCGCTCATCAGTATTGGGTTAATTTTAAACTGCGCTTACTTATCCCCATCAAAAATACCTTGAAAACATTAAACAACCTTAGACAAATTCAAAATGAGTTAAAATGTACAAGCATTGATAATATTTTATGTGTGCATAATACCTGAGGATCATTTATTTTGATAGCCTGTGTCGAAGACGCCCGTATATAACTTGACCTACCCCTCCAGTGCTACCACTCTGAACAAAGGGGAGACGTTGAAGGTGGTGTTTGAGACATGGATGCCCTATCCTAGCCCCGATATTGCAGCGGAGGCCATTAACCTCCACAGCGACACCACCAACAATGACGTAAAGGTGGTCTCATTACATGTAAAGTCTATAGGTCGAAACATCGACGGAACAACAGAGGCACCGCAGGTTAATATATGTAGCAGTATAGCTTAAATAAATACAGGCTTCTGTTTTTGCTTTTATATCAATTTTTTTTTACATTCAATCTATGAATACAGCAAGACATTAAATGAAAAATTGTATTGGATCAAAAATGTCATCTCATGCACATTCCACATTTTTCTCGCTTTGTTAATCGTTTAACTCTTAAACTTGTATTTTGTCTACTTAATGCACATATTTTGATTTTTGCAGGTAAATTTAGAAAAGATGACGTCATCGGCAGTTTTATGTAACTCTAGCTGGGCGGGTTCAAGACGTGTTCGACTGGTTCTACCAACAACTCTCACAAATAAAGGTACAGCTAATCAAACGCTCTTAGCAACTGCAGTGAATAACATAAATTATGTCTATCACATGCTAAGTGTTACATTTATCAAGATATTTATGCATATATCACTATATCTGTGTAAATTTTGGAACCCGCATTTTCGGCTAAATTGGGTCATAATTTTAACAGAATTTCTACTAAATTCCACTACTTGGCGTCCATATTTTTGTTGTACTACTGTACAGACGAGTTTTGATTTTTTTAAAATATATTTTTCGTATAAAATCTTTGAACCGCTACATTACAGTCCAATCCTAGCTCAAGCAGCTTGAATTTTTTTTGTTCTTTACACGAGGAAGCTTAAACAAGCATAGCCTTTTCTACATCGTTATTTAAAGAGAATTTTAATTACATTTTCCTTCTCGCTCTAATTCTTTCAAAGAGATTACAATTCTTAGGTTAAACACAAAATCTGGGGAAAATTTGGTGGCAATCAAAATCTGGGGAAAATGTGGTTGCAATTGACCCATTGATTCTTGATCAAATCAAAATTGGCGTAAAGTCAATACACAAATGAGAGGGATTAGAGATAAATTCTGATTGGAAAAGCTCACAAGATTTCAATGTGGGTGAGCCACTAGTGGTTTGGCCAATCAAATGTTTTCACGTAACACAACTAACAACCAAGGTAAAGCTAATCAAAATCTTTCAAAATCAACAAAAGCCGGGACAGCCAAGAGTCTTTTAATCATTCAATTGGATATCAGGTCAAATCATCCAGGGTCAATATACCATAATATTCCATAAAGAAATAGATGTACAGAAGTTAAGATGATAAAATAAGCCTAATAATCATCGTCGAGGTCTAAAACTAGCTATATAAGATTATTTCTACAGAGTGTGTCTGAAGTAAGGAGCATGAAATAAAAAATTTTCTTCGTTTATTCATTTGTTTGATTAAAATCAAATGATTTTAGTAAACAACAAAGCACTCCATAGCCGACGGGAAAAATATGTATGGTAAATTTTATACTCTCTTGAAGTTGATTCAGACATTCACAAAAATGAACAATTTTTAAGTTACGGTTTCAACAAAGAAGAAGAGTCTCGATTCTCGTTGATGGTTTATGGCAAAGATCAGCTATCAATCAAGTGTAGTACAAACAAAATTGGAATTGTACATCATATAAACATGTATTGCAAAGTCGTTGATATTCACTTTCCTGGATACTACTTTATAAGATGCATCAGAAATAAAATATTTCAGTTGAGAGACTAATTGCTAGGAGTTAAAAATGCTACAAATTTACTTTCGATTTTTAAACACATGCTTAGCCATAAAGACATCATAAAACACTATATATGAGACCTGTGGTTTTCTTTTTTAAAAAATCGAAAAACTACACTCTGTATCATCTTCAAGTAACAGACAGAGCAGAAAAATACATCGATAATCATCTTTTCTTTTGAATCTAAACTTTACAAAAGGTGTACCATGAGATAATGGAATTTTTAATGAGTCCATCCTATTTCATGGAAGGTTACTGTATAAATTTACACAACAAAGCTACATATCGATTCACATCGCTTGGGGCTCTTTGATAAACATTTGTTTTTCTACCATGATAGAGTCACGCTCGGCATCTCCTGCCAACTCAACTGTAGACGACAGAATAGAATTCGAGGCTGTTATATTAATGACAGATGATGCAGTAGAAGGTGATGAATATCCGATCGGGTTCGGAATTGAGGTGGATACGGCTGAAGTTTGGGTCTCCTACTTCAACCTTACGGCAGGCCCAGCAAGTGGATCCCAACCGGTAAACCAGGAGGACGGTTTCCTCAAGAAAAATAATGAAAAAAAACTTAATTATGCTGCTTATACCTATAAGTACATGTACACTTTTTTTAATGTAGAGATACCAATAATGCATCTTTAAAATGTATTTGACTGTGAATATCAGTACTATCACGGTAAAATTTCAAGTGAAAAAAGGGAAACATTCATATAAATAGATTTTCTTTTAAAATTATTATCATACAATAAAGGTATGACTGATATACCTACATTGCATTCTTAAATGTATTTCAAATAAAAGTTATCTATTATCTCCTTTTTTTCTTCGTATGACAGAGCATGTCGATGGCCATTGCTGGTGTTAACAGTACAGCCTGCGTCAGTGCTGTAACAGATTTCGTTGTAAATATCACGACAGTAGAAACCGGGATTACAGTTTTCTCTCTTACGGTCGAAGTGGTGGAAAGTACGGCTCTTCCGGCTGGAGTAATGGTGGCCCATATGGAGGTCATAGAAAGTGGACAAAATATACTTTGCTCAGAGACCAATCTCACCAAAGAGAGCACCACCTCCAACACCGTGGTAGAAAACTCCGCCACAATGACATTTAACATCAGTAATTTTGGGACGATGAGCCATATAGGAGGAAATAACACAATTACAGTCAAAGTTTATTTGGTGCCGTTACCAGGATTTGTGTCAACTGGGCAGAAACATAAAATTAATGTCGGGCTTAGTGGTCATACAACTGTAAATGATAATACAAATGAACTGGACATCGTGTGTGAATATCCACCAGATGTAAGTATATATCCACCAGATGTAAGTCTATCAGCGTAGAGTTAGCTTGGTTGAGTCTTTCATTTTTCCTTGTCTTTTTCTTGCTTTGGTTTCATTTTTTTTGCGGTATGATAGGCTCGTTAACGGTAACTAGATAGCTCACGTGGAAGAACAATCTGTATAGAGTTTACTTTGAATACCTGTTCCTTCCTTACAATTTTCTGCCTTCTAACTGCATTTTGCCATGCCTTACGATTGATCAAATTTTAATTAAACCTGGGCAGGCTCTTAACAGGGTTTTCAAAGATATTCATTACGCTATTGTATGGTCTTTTTATTACCTTGTTTGCAAATACAACCTGTCGTATGGTCGAATTTTGACTGACGTGTGCTTGTTCAATTCCAATTTATGAGTGCTCCGTTTATATGATCAGACCTAAGGGCACACGTCGGGTGCTTACTCCTCATATGCACCTGATCACATCTCTGTGCTTCTAGGGTCCGTGTGTTTGTCCTGCTCCCAAATCTGTATTGTTTACAGAATATATGAGATTGATAAATGTTCATTATCTCCACCTTCTCATTCAAAGACTAGCCAAGAGTGTGCTTTGGCTTATATAGTAGGTGGGGTGAAGGCTATGTAGATAGCTCAACCGGCTTTAGAAGTACCTGTTACAATAGTTCAAAGGGCATGCTTTAAAATCTTGTTGTATTTTCTACCTAGTTGTTAGTTTTTGTCATATATTTGTTTGTGTGTTTGTTTATTTGTTTTTTGTTTGTTTGTTCGTGTTTTTTTTTTGATTGCTATATAGCACATACAACATAAAACACTCAATTTACTCCATACAATACAGGCACCCGTTGACTTTTCATTCAACTTTTTCCACAACTGCACCAAAAACTGTCTGACAAGAGGATCCGTGTTCGAATTCTTCCTGGACATCTCTACAGAGAGGAACAAAAATCCAGGCCAGGTGAACGTTGAGCTGGCGGTGCCTACCAATGATAGCGAGTCTTTCTTTGTCATCTGTGGCTACGACATACAGAAGATCGGATCCAACCTGAAGTGTATCAACAACGCCACGATCATGGAAGCCACGAACACGACAGTGTAAGAAAATACTGAAATAAATATAGACATATATACTTTATTTTAAAAATATTCTCGTGTGTTCTTAACATCATCTCTTCGAAGTTTTTATTACACGCTGGAAATGTTCTGAAACAAATATTGAAATCTTTTTATCATCAGAATAAAATCTAAATGAAAGTTCCGGCCTTCATGATTTGTGTTGTGTTTTGTAACGATAGGTAAATCGATTTCCTCTTCCAGTTTGTCTGATGGAACCTACTCCAAAGTGAACGTAATTTTTCCGGTGATGTGTAATCTTGGAATCGTAAACGACACAGAAGAAGACAAAGTCCAAATTCGGCTAACAATAAAAATTCGGAATGACACATCTGTAAATTCGAGTAGGGATGAATGGTTCGGACTGGGGTCTCGATACAGTACAACCCAAGTGTGGGTCGGGCAGTACAAAATCTGCATCCGGGCACCAGTAAGTACAAAATTTGCATCCACGCACCAGTGAGTACACTATTCTATGTCATCCGGGCACCAGTGAGTACACTATTTTATTTCATTCGGGCACCAGTAAGCCACGTGATAAAATATTTCTGAATAACTGGATTGGTTTCAATTTGACAGGGAACTGATTCCTTAGATTTAAATTAAGTTTTTTTTCTAACATTGGTTTAGGACTACTACGCAGACCTCGCTAAGATCCATGGTGTAGCTATTGACTCTTCAGACCTAAGTGGAACGGTCTTTCCAGGAGTACGGGGAATCGAATACAGCTTTGACGGCGTAGATTTTAAGGACAAACCAGTAACTGTAAGTATAGAGTTTCAATCCGTCTTAAATCGTCTTACTTTAAACTCACTGGTAAAGACAATTAAAGAAATAACCCTAAAATTTTCCTATCAATACTTAGTTCACGCCTGATGGTGCAAATGCCTCTGTTTACAATATCGACAAACCTTTCATCACAAGTTATGTGGGAATGACGAACCTGCCCAATGAATCCTGCAAACAAAGCTGCTATGTCAACCATGAAATGGTAGTCACTAAACGTACGTATAATATATCATATTAAAGTCGTCTCCCAGTAAATAGAAGAATACAATAATACATCCATAAGCATAACAGAATAATTCAGATGCATCCTCCTCCTCTTCGGTCGTATAAAATGTTGCTTTAACGTTAATGCTTTTCCAAAAGAAATATGATTTATAATGAATTGAACACAATTGCAGCATACCTTACGAGGCAAAATTTGACAGAAGTAGTCTTTAAACTTGATTATTTTCTTAAAGAATGATAGTCATTTATTTCAGTGAGAGTTATCTCTCTTTATCATAGGGTCAACGAATCTTAACTCCAATTAGACATCAAACATTGTAACAATACGTTTAACAAGTTTTACCAAGTACTGCATGTCATTAAAATCATTTTGCCTTCTTTCAGTCTAATCTCTGAAGAATACCAACGGTACCTCTGGAAATACGGATAAAACACTCTTTGGTTTCTATTTTTAGTTGACGGTTACATTGATATCTTTAACGACGAGTCTGGGACCCTGAAATCCAAAATTCCCTATGCGCTGGACGGTGATAATAGCACCTGTTTTGATCTTCCAGTACAAGGCGAAACTCCACCTTTGTTCTGGACGAGGATGAATACATCGGTAATCCTCGGAATAAATGCCTCACAGTTTGATATCATAATATCAGGCGAAGGAATATCCTGTGCAAGACACTCAAACAACAGGGTTCTACAGGTAAATTATTCAAAAGTTCTACTGGTAAATTACTCAAACAACAGGCTTCTACAGGTAAATTATTCAAATAAAAGTTCTACTGGTAAATTACTCAAACAGTAGGGTTCTACAGGTGTATTAATCTAACAACAGTGCTGTTACAGATAAATTACTCAAACAGTAGGGTTTTACAGGTGTATTAGTCTAACAACAGTGCTGTGCATATAAATTACTCAAACAATAGGGATTTACAGGTGTATTGATCTAACAACAGTGCTGTACAGGTAAATTACTCACAGAATAGGGTTCTACAGATAAAATACTCAAACAATAGGATTCTAGTAAATTTCTCAAACAATAGGGTTCTTTAAGTAAATTACTCGATTTCTTGTCAGTGGGTAATATGAGTAATTTTTTTAATTCATGTTTCAGCTATGATTTCTTATTTAAATGAATGTGTACTAATAAAGGATATTCAGAATTCAGAAAAATATATGTGATGAACTTTTTGATGCAATCTTAAAGAACTGGGTACGGTAAGCCCAATAATCGGCCCTGTAAAATCGACAAAAATTAAAAGGAGGTTTACATTTTATCAAATGTATCAAGTTACAGTTGAGGTTTCCCTGTGTGTAAATTGGGTAACAATTTTTCTCAACACAAGCGCCCTTTCATTCATATAACGTTTAAAACCGGTCTTATATTCCGGAATTCCCTTATTTTGGATGTTTTCCTCCTCTTCAAGTCTATATTTCGATATGGCCGCATCCGAGTACCGGTATGTATGCGAAACTTCACAGAAAGAACAAATATAACCCGATTTCTGATATTAAAAAGAAAAAATGACCTTACAAAAGTGCGACCACATCCGTTTTTACAAAAAAAGTGAAGTTGGAAATGCTGCATTTTTGGAAAGACTTCAGTTTTCTCCACAATAAATCTATACTTTTAAAGAAATAAATTGTTTAATTCTGTATCTGAAGGTTTTATTATTCTTTTTATTGTCTTTTAAATCTAATTCTGCATTTGAAAAATAATTTAATACAATTTAGGCAAATGAAAACCATTTAAACCTTTCTCAGTGAAATTTATTATATGGGACATTACATGTAATATTAATGACGCAATGCATTGAAAACATGACGTCACAAAGAGCAATCATGTTGAAAATATATACTTGAAACAAATTCGTCCGTCTTCTCAACTATGATAAACATTCAATCAATATTTACAGCGTAAAAAAGTAATAACGACATAAGTTGGGCTGGTTCAGACGATTAATTTACATTTACATGTACATGTACCTCCAGTTAAAACGCGCGTCTCCTTCATAGTGAACATTGACTTTATTTGGCTGTTCAAGAAAAGGTTGCTTTTTTTAACCTTTTTATTGAAAATCATCAGCTTTCTTAAGTATGTTTTATTCGTTTTCATTTTATATATATGTGGGATTCATAAGTATCAAAAGACAATACATGTAGCTAGTGATCGGGGCAGGTAAAGGGGGAGGGGGGGGGGTTAGGAGGGAAGCTTGGGATATACTAGTAAAAGTCACCATTTGAACATTTTTTTTTCAAAACTTGTTATCCTTGTTCACTGTATTGTTGCAGATTTTTATTTGACAAAATTAATTATGTCAGAAAGGATTCTAGTGTTTTATAGCATAATCAGGAAGTGTGTTATATATGACTTAACACTTCTAAATCTGCCACTGCCGACCTACATTTACTTATTGAAGGTCTGCAGCTGGGAATGGAAAAGTTCTTATTTACACTTATTATTAATTATATAATTATTATATATATATTTATCATGCTGATCGGAATATTGACATCAGTGTTTTCAAGTAAAATCGGGTTTAATTTATAATTTACAAGGAATTATAGATAAGGAAAAATTAATTATGTTGACAAACTAAGTTTATAAGCTTATAAACCTAGACAGTGGCGTACATTTTCGGCATTTTCTACCAAAATTTAAGTGAAACACGATACTATCAACCTTTTTTTATTGACTATAAATAAAGATTATCTGTTCCCAGTTCTGTAAAAAAAAAAAATACAAACACGATCATTCATTACTTGTGGACAAGAACCCCCCCCCCCTTTCCGCTCCATAATCGATGATTTTAATAACTCGATTATTTTTCTTTCAGAAATTATTTTTCTAATACATTTTTAAGGAATTCCAAGTCTTGAAATGAGAAATGAAAAAAAAGGTTATAGATATTTACCTGTATAAAAAACAAAACGAATGTACATATTAACTACACTACTAGTACACTACTAGTATATATTGATATTCTTGAAGTAAGCGAGTATTTTTAAAAGGATTTTATCCAGATTATCCATGAAATAATACATTAAGGAATTATTAAGGTCATAGGAAAAATGTTCAATATTCCAATGGATGTACGTCGGTAACCCACGGGTGATTCAAATTGAGACTCAAAACCGTGGTTTGCGACTAGGGGGGGGGGGGGGGGTTCCTGCCCAATATCACCTTTGTGAAAATGGTGCACATTATCTCTGAATTTTAAAAATTTCAACGTCCGTCTATGATGATAATCCGTTCTGGAAAAAAAAAAAATATTTAAAGTATTTTATCGTTACTACAAGGACAAATGTAAAGATTTGTGGAGGAAATGCCCCAGAGAGTTATTGTATCCGAAGAAAGTGATTAAATTATCATTGTCACTGAAATAATATCAAATATCTTACCTACGGTTGTGTAACATGTAAACATCAGGAGGAGTTCTAAAGCAAAATCATTATCTATTTTAGAGCAGTTTTTTTTCTTAGAAGATGTATAGTCATGTTATACATGTCAGCAGTTTGCTAGGCATATTTTTAAAGATTTTTTTTAATCAGACACTAACATGAAAAAGAACCATAATCAAGCGATAAAATCCAGGAATGGCAAGGATAACTCTATAAGGAACACTGTTACGTGTTTTACATGTACTTATTGTTCCCACAACTGACAAGTAACAAAATAACATCAGATTTCGTATAATTTGATAAATGAACTAGAAATTAAATCTCTATGTAGCATATCAAAAGAGACGTGAAAGTGAATTTTGATTCTTTAATGTGTGTTCTGTTATTCTGCATTTCGATTATTTGTACTTTGTCTCCATTTAAATAGAAGTGTGTGTGTGAAGGGGGGGGGGGGTACTGATAATCAAGTTATACATGTACTTTAATGAGGACCAATAAAAATATTTCCACTCGATCGTTACCGTTGATCGATCTTTTACTGATCGATATCAATGCAATGTCTGCCGCTTCATGCTGCATTGCTTTGAAGACGACACGCGGAGATTTTCAAAGCCGACGTGGATAAACTCTATATGTGAATCATACACACATACTATATCCTTACTTTTATACATTTTAGTTTTTAGGGAATTATGCCCGTTAGAGTGTACTAGAGACTTCTGAATCCCCTCCCGAGAATGCATGTACATTTCCCTTCGAATTCACTACGCAGATTTAAGCAAAAATTTTCAAAGTCTGTAACGCGCGTTATGATAAGGCCGTTTCAAGTTTTTTTTTTCCCTATGTTCAGCGTATATACAGTCGGATTGGTTTTTGAGGTTAAGAAAATTTTGACAATAAGTATATAGGGGATTATTCCTGGTTAGTGCATTTGACATGAACATGCAATGAAGCGGATCCACTGGAATGAATATAAATCACGATCTGTAAAAGAAATTCTAACATCAAAGAAAAATTAACGCAGTTTAACAGACACCTCATAACTCTGAAATAGTGAGAAATTTTTATCAATAGAAGATACGAAATTAATAGCGCTGCCATTTGGTGGAATGGAAAGGGGGGGGGGGGGTGATGGCTTTTTCATTGCCAAAAGTCCAATTTTGACAATTTTATATGGGACGTTCCAATTTTCTTTTAATTGATTCATGCATATTTAAAATTTTAAATGTAACTTCATAGACAATGCGAAAAAAGGTTGAAGAAATCTAGCAAATTTTCACATAATTTTTTTTTATAAATTTGATACGCGCACATATACATGTATACATGATACAAATTTTAAAAGAAGAACGTACCTCGTCTCGTCTGTATGGATGAATCAAACCTCATTACTTGTCTGGTAAAATCATTTGCAATAAAATTATATTTTCCAACAAATTATTATACTCCCTCCAGATATCAAAGATACATGTACGATGAATTAAAATAAAAGTTCAAAATTGTTTTCTGGAACTAAGGCAGATTAAAATAAATACATATGTAGTTTCCGGTCCAGAGAATTCATTTCTTTTAACGTAAAGTTAAAATCAATAACGCCTTGATGACGTTATCACGTCAAAATTTGTAATTTTTTTAAGAAAACTCCCCATTTTTCGAGACATCTGACGGAAAAACGGTATGTGATAATTTAAAAAAATAAAATGATCTTGAAAAGACACATCGTAGGCATGTTTGTATAAAATTGAAATCAAATTTGGAGACAGGGCCGCCTTGTTATACGTAACGTACCCAGTTCTTTATAACACTACTCTCTGTGCTTACATGACTTGTATGCATAGCACGCAAAAAAAAAAAAATCTTGATTATGGTCATGAATAAAAAACACAGAAAACCACAAGCAAAGCGCCAAGAAAGCCTTATGATTAAATGAGGTCACAAACATACGTTTATTACGAGTGAAGAATGACAGTATTCATATCTACTGCAGGTGACTACTCCCGCGTCATTACAGGTTTCCTACCCAGAATCCAGTTCTGTCGGCAAATTCCATGGCAACATTCAATTCTGCAACCTGACGGCTGATAATGCAGTGCCCAACAGTTTCTCCACATGTGGCTTCCGATGCAGCTGTCCGGACGCCCCACACTGCGAGGAGGTCATTGTGTTTTTAGCAAATAATGAGAATGGAGCCACCTGGAAGTTGTGCGAGATCTCAGCAACAAATTACTGATCAACCAATCAGGACCCGCTGTCCTGATCACGTGACACCGTCCATAACTAAGTAGTTTTATATTTTGAATCTTACGAGTTGCTTGTATCATCATTGAATAGAAGTACAAAAAATTGTTTAAGATATAAATCAACTTGAGAGAAAAAATAGTGATCGAGCTCATCTAACATATGTACACAACGACACTCCGTCTGGTGCCATTTGATATTCTTCATATTTTCTATAAGTATTTTGCAATAATATCTGCATCTTATTGAAGAAGAATGAAGTTATGTTTATAGTGAATAGAAAAAGTGCAGAATTTTTTTTTAGAAAAAAGAAACTTATGCTTAAAGTTTGAAGAGCACAGGTTTTTCAGAATATTATTCAGAACATTACGATTTCCTCCATTAATAGCCCAATAAACCGGCCTAGAGAGACATCAGTTTTAGTCAAGAAGATTTTATATCGTGACTTGACGAGAGAATAATTGAATGGTGATTATATTTGGTAGTGTTCTAACTTCCGGTCACTCAAACTCTGTCTGTTCTTATTATAACAATATATATTTATTCTATATCTGTGATAGACTTATTTCAACTTTTTTATTTAACTTTTTTTTTCTCCTATTACTTCTGAAATTGTGTGCAATAATTACTGTAAAAGTCATATATTTTCGTGGGGTCAAACTTGCCAAGTTGGAGGAAAAAATATAAGTTCTATGGGATTTGATTTCGTGGATTGAAGAAGTGTTGAGCTCTTATACATTTTAAATATTGCATATCATATACATTTCTGGAGGATATGAATTTGTGGTTTCCTCGCACCACGAAAACAACAGAAATTAATCCCCATGAAAATTTATGATTTAACAGCATACTTTTAATTGACTGTGAAATGTGTCTAAATGCAACTTAGTTCTTGATGCTGTAATGTCATGTGTATGTAATGTTTTTAGATAATACTATTTATTTAACAATACTTTTATTTTTTAAATACTGTGCATTATGCTTGTATATTCAAATTCTGCATTTTGCTTCCATTTCGAATACCTTTTATATCTGAAGAGTACATATAAACCCTTAATACTTCATTATTATGTATATATTCTCAGCATTTCTTGTCCCAGTCATTCAGTAATTTTTACACATTTATTATATAAATGAGAGCGTTTTATTTCTTCAAATGTTTTTAAATTTTCGCTTGGCTTTCTTGATTTCTGCAGATTCTTACCCGACATATTTGAAAGAACGATTAATAATGAACATCTGAGGGTTTATGTGGTAATCAATCTGTAATAAAATAAGTTAATGGTATATGATACAGTCTGACGATTATTCTCTATTTGGAATGGGATGTGAATGTAATATACCTGTAGATTTCAGGGCAATGATACCACGTTAACTAATTATAAATAAACAATGATGCATATTATAGAAGGTCGGCCATAGATATGTTTAACCATCCGTTAAGACTCTTTCTAAAGAGATAAGTAACTTTCCATCTGTGATCGATATAACATTTTAAGGAGGACGTGATGTATGAAGTTCTTCATGTCTTTATTAAGAATTCAGTTTAATCTAGTCAAGACTTTCAATCTCTGTTCAATCAAGCACTTGCATGTATTAAATATTGTCATACGAAAATAATTGGGAAAGTTCCTTCATAAGGATTCTCCGTGTATTTAACGGATTTTTCAATTTATGATATAAGTTAATTAATGCATTTATTTAAAAAGTTTAGAAAATACAAGCAAATCTTCCTGTGTAATGCATTCATCAAGTATGTTATAAATAATAAATGATTAAAATAATTACGGAATACTGAGATTATGGTGGAATGGATTGAAGTTTTGTAAAATGAAAAAACAAAACAAAACCAAAAAAAAAAACCCCCCCCCAAAAAAAAAATAACACGTGAACTGAAGAAGATATATTATAAATCATATATACAGTGTATACCTGAAAATAGTCAAAAAACATAAAGAAAAATTTCAATGAAAAGAAAACTCTACTTTTCTTGTTTGGTCTGTTTGGTTTTTACTATTTAAATATTTTTTGCTACACAAAATTATGTAACTTGTTATTTATTTCAATAAGTTGACTAGCTATTTTCGAGAGTTTACATGCATGGGCACTCAAATAAGTCATCAGTATTGTATATAAGTTTCGAAATCAATGGAGCCGCTATTCTTCTTTTTTTTTTCATTGCAAGCATTTTTAAAACAACCCAAGACATTCCTCTATTTTAATCTTCGTTAATGTTGTTGTTGCAGATTTTATTATTTGAATAAATTTACAATATTTTATTGTATTGGTTTGTAATTATGATATTTCATAGATCATGCATTTATATGATGCGTTTCTTAACCATATTTGGATCAAGTCCATATAAAACTTGTCAGCACATTTCTTGACATTTTTAACACTTTTATTTATAACTTTGAAAAAAAAGTTTCCACACTACAATACTGCTATAGTATGAAAGGTTAAAAACATCAAGTGGCTGTTCTTGCAACTTGTTAACGAAGCTCTAAATACCATTATTTAATAATATGCGTAATTTGATTTTGTACATAGATTAATTTATCCAGATACTTTGCTATTGCTTGGTAAACAATAATATATGTCATCCAAAACTGACAATAACGGTAAAATATTGTAGCTGGAAGCAGAGTCAGCAATTCCTATTCAAAAAACTGCAAGCTTTTAATAATTGACTTTTTTGTTTCTATGGAGAGCAGCCAAATTCGAAAAATATATAATTGCATGCACAACAAGACTTGTAACTTTGAATTTTTATAAGCTCAGTTCAATGAAGCTGGGGGAACTTACTAGTATGTTTTAGTGTCGGTATACCAGGCTAAATTTTTGAAAGTTTTCTTTCCCCTATATTGATCATAACTGCATGTGTGATGCATCTAGTATGTTTCATTGTACCAGTAAAGCTTCAGATGTTGCATTTCAGGCAGTATTTTTTAGGAGAATATCCAGATTTATGTTTTTGAGCAGGTAACATATTTTATTTAAAGCAGATTGTTTTAGACGCATGCCTTATTGATTTAACTTGCATGGTTGATACAGCTCGGGGTGCAAACTACTAGACCTGCTTTGAATGCAAGATATAAATTGCATTTTCTAAATTAACTTGCATGAATGATTCATATAGGTTTGCACAATACCAAATTTGCTCTGGATGCTGGATGAGCCAGAATTTGACCTATATTCGCCAAATAAATTCATGTCAAGATTAAAGATGTTGGAGCAAGTTCATTCCTGTATTATCTTAAGCTCTATATATGGTGATAAATTTTACGTAATGATGCGTCTAAGGATGTACAGTACTAGAACATTTTTTAGGTGTTATACATTGCCTTACTCAGGATTGGGCCAATCACCCAAATGGAATAAAATAGCCCATTTGGGATAAAATACCGGGTATGCCAAATGGGATTTAAATTTACAGTTTAAGCGATTAATCCCTCGGAAGATCCTACACTTCTTGGGGATCAATCTCTAGGATTATAAAAAAAACCCTTGCTTTTCAAAAGTTAAGGCATTCGATTTATGTTTATGCGGATTTACACTATTTATAGCCAAAATAACATTTTTTTTTTAAATTTACACTGTAAATTCATATCCCATTTGGGATATTATATCCCAAACAGGCTATTATATCCCACTTGGGCAATAGGTCCCAACCTGTTATTGCAAGATAATAAATTCGCTTCTGTTATATAAAGGCTGACATTTGCCCTTATTGCCATGGTCACTGTAAAGGTGAATTTAAGTCTCAAAATTAATTGGTAACTATTTAATTATCAAACATACAATACAGCTTAGATTCTATATAAATTAACATTAAGACAATATAACGAGAGGAAAATTTCAAACAGGTGCTACGAGCATAAGCATCTGTGTTATCTATAACTGGGGTTAACGGAACACCAACTTCCAATAAAAATGCACCTGGTCGACTCAAAATATATGAGCTAACTATTCGTTCCTGATTTTTACAGATCCAGTCAAATGAATATTTATGCCTACGTAGCTATCATTAGGTATTTGAACCGAGTAGAAGTAGCTACTTCTATCTACTTTAACGTCTCTTTAAAACTGGAAATAAATAATACTTAAGGTGGATCTTTAAAACACGTTGTTTCTTATCAGTTCATCACCTTGTGCACTAAAATAACATAAGTACAAATAACCTTTGGACTGGACATGCAAAATTCGGGTGTAAATTTGAAACTTTTAGGACGGTAGGAACTGGAGAGGAATTACATGAAGAATGGTCCCAAAACCTTCTATCTAAGGATGCATGAAGGTAAATCTTAAAATTAATACACATTTGTAAGATATTTTAGGCTTTTTACCAATTGACTTTGATTCTGAGCTTCTAGAAAATGGAACTGTATATAGCTATTGGTGCATAATTGATAAGTTAGAAAGTAATCATTTTTTGGCCAAATTTTTTGTCGCCTACATCGATAGTGTGACTGTACCAAGAAATTTGGTAGTCACTACATTGCGACATTCCCAACTTTGGCCACGAAAAGCAAATAAAGCAAAAAGTAAGTAAGTACAACTACCTAGAGTAGGTGTTTAAATACCTAGATAGCTATAACTAGCTACGTATAGGTAGAAATAGTCTTTGGACTGGACCTGTTCAAGAATTAAGCCGGTCCCATGCTGCTTTATGCTACTTACCAGGGTTGGGGTAATGCTAAATGTAATGATAATGTATTGCAATGAATCACTTGAACTAGAAGTAATGCTAGTAATGTGTGTCATTACATAGCATTACAAAGCATTATTTTGTATATACCTGTTTTAAAAAAATGAAAATGGACATGGAAATTATTCTTTTGATTATTTTTTTAATAATAGAAATGAATGAAAAATGTTAAGCTATTTAAATAAACTCGCTGTATCTAATCAAATATATCTTTATTCTGTTGAAAGTTCAATTACTGCACATTTAAATTTTCATACTTATTTTAGATCAGATTTATTTTCAAAGAATATTTCAAAGAATTCTTTTTAAAAAATACCCTTTGGAAATTAAATCCGGTATGAGGCACAGTAATTAATGTAAACTGTAAACTGACAATTGCCACCTTTTGAATAGAGTGTCATCAAAACACACAATGCCTCTATGGTTATGTAACAATTGATTAAAACAATGTATTGTTTTGAGAAGTACTCCAAAAGTCAGCCCCTTTAATTTCTTCTGACTGTGTTTATAAAACATTTTTTGAGCTGCATGACCTTGTCAAAACCATTGCACCAAAAGGAATAGAAGATATTCTACTTTTAGAAGAGCAAAATGTACGTACTGCCCAGCCCTTTTTACAAGTTTGTCAATGCATGCATTTTTTTTTTGTTATAATTTTAAGGTACTCGATCCAAATAACTTTTCTATGTCTTAATTTTTAAGTTTATTTTTAGCTTTGGGGAAAGAGTAAATTGTCCCAAAATTTAAACTGCTTTATGACATCAATAGTTACACAAAAAATGCATATGTACATGTTTTTATCTTATTGGCAATCGAATAGTTTGAACTTCCTATGAATAATAAAAAAATATGTAAATTATTTTATACAGTGTAATAAATACATGTACTTGAAATTAAATTTGAATTATCATTCATCATATGTTTAGTTTTGAAGTATTGGGTTCCATGTTTATAAAAAAGTTGCAAAGTTTTGTAGTTTTATTTTTGAAAACCTCAAAAAAGTAACGGTAATGGTAATGCATTACTTTGCTAAAGTAATGGTACACATGTAATGTAATGCATTACTTTGCTAAAGTAATGGTACACGTGTAATGTAATGCATTACTTTGCTAAAGTAATGGTACACATGTAATGTAATGCATTACTTTGCTTTAAAAGTAATGGTAATATAATGCATTACTTTAAGAAATTAAAGATATTGTACATGTAATAGTAAATTAATGCCCAAATTCTTGAAGTAATGGTAACTTTACAATGTAATTAACCCCAAGCCTGCAACTTACCTGTTCTATTTCATTTATGAATGATAAACTAAAGACTGCGAAATGTTCTTCACATCTGTTTTCCGTTTTTTGTTAAATGTATAGCAACTGCTATAATCCAACTGGAAATTATAAATTCTATTAAAGATGATGGGAAAAGCCATACCTTCACACTAAAAAGTGTTAAATCCATTGCGTGTTATTTTATGGTACATGCTAATCATTGATGATAGAGCTCAATACTCAAATAAGAGGCAAAAAAGTCAATTTTTATAAATGGTAAATTCAGTTGTTGCACTTAATGAGAAATAAATGTAATCCTGATAATGATTTAAATATAATTCAACATTAAAACTTATCTATTTAAGGTGTCTCAAGCCCTTAATTATTTCTAAGCTGGGCTTTCCAAGCTTTTGTCAAAGAGGATTATCTTCATTTACAGCTACTTTACATCAGCATCTTTATTATATTCTATTTTTAAATTTTCTAGGGAAGCTATAGGCCTTCATTTATGCAACGAGAATGGATGTAATGGAGGCATGGGTCACTGGTCTGGTAAGTTCTAATTACGTATAGGCATTATCTTATAAATTATACCTTACTCAGTTTTCAAGTTGTGTAATTATCCAGATAAATATTTTGATGATTTCTCTATTTTGCGTTTTATTTAAGTAAGTATGCTTAGTTCTTAAATTTGTCTGTAATAGTCATAGTATAAGGTTTATGCAATATTGTTTACAGGCCGGGGGTTGTGCGGGAATGTCTGTAGATGTCGCTCTGTTTCCATTGGATACGGTGAAGACACGCCTACAGAGTGAGGTGGGCTTTGTTCAGTCGGGAGGATTCCGAGGAATTTACTCTGGTCTGTCATCAGTCATAGCAGGATCATTCCCCACTGGTAATACCCTGATAACAACTACACATCTCAAAATTAGCAAACACTTTATATGTATGTTGTTATCAAAGATATGGGATGCATTTAGAGCCCATAATTTATTAGCTTATATAATAATTAAAAGGTGGAAGCATGGCTATAAGCTCTTTCCTCTAACTGAGAATTTTCTCTTTCAGCTGGTCTGTTTTTCTTTACTTATGAAGGTGTGAAGGTTGTTGGGAGGGAATTCCTAAGGGAAGATCTGGAACCTGTTCTTCACATGACTGCTGCCTCTTCAGGGGAAATGGTGGGTAATGGGGGAGATTACCCAGTGGAAGTGGTGAGAAGGGAGAGGGGGAAAGGAGTTATGTGGTACCCTGAGAAGTTGTGAGTATTGGGGTAGAGCGGGGTATGTGGTACCCATGAGAAGTGTTTGGTACCCAAAGAAAGTGAAAAGTGGAAGAGAATCAAGGTGAAAAGGTCAGTACTTACAAGAAATATAATTATAGTCAAGAAAAGAAGTGAGTATCATTACAAAGTAGTATATAGGAAGTACTGAATATCCAGAAAAAGGGGTTAGTAGTTTCACGGACAGTGATAGTACTCAAATGACGTTGTGTGTGTACAGGTAAGGTGTTTAGTATTCATTGGAAGTTGTTAGATTCCAATAGAAAACTTGAGTATGAAGGAAGTACCAAGCTTGGAAACTGGTATGTAGGGGATGTAGTTTATAGGGGTAAATGAGTACCCATAAGCACATGCATATGGTCATAAAACAATGTTACATTTAATTACAGTAACCTATATGGATCTCTAGTACTGTTTAGGAACATAATGAGTGGATTTTTATTTTTGTTTGGGAATTTTTAGCATCACAGCATAGCTATTGATTAACATTCTTTTCTTGTACAAATTTTACAATATCAAAACATTTTCTGAAAAATTTACCATAGAATTTGTTTTAATTCTGATAATATCTCGTAATTTTACATGCATTCTGTATAGATGGCATGTTTGTTGCGAGTTCCTGTAGAAGTAATCAAACAAAGAGCTCAGACGACACGGTTCTCATCCTCAGAAGTCCTGAGGAAGACACTCACAATGGAGGTAAACATTACCCATGATGATTTGATATTAAATTCCTGTTTTCTTTAAAGATCACACTTTGTATGATAGAAATATTAATACTTCCAAATTCTAAATCTGATGTTAAATTTTCTAGATGTTTCCTTAGTAAATTCACCAATTCAGTTTTTACATACTGTGAATTCTCAGATTTTGTTGGAGTTTATTTTTTGTTGTTTTCATGTTATGAAGAGACCAACGAATTTACGTCTTCCATGAAACGTACAATGACAACATACAAAGTCATGTATGTCTACCAACCATGAAGTTCAATCCCTTTAAATCAGTATTTTCAACAAACCATGAAGATATGGCCCCACTTAAATAAGTGATTTAACAGTAATTTCTTTTTGTTAAGGGTATGAGAGGTTTATACCGGGGATATGTCAGTACAGTGCTGAGGGACATCCCCTTCTCCTTCGTACAGTACCCACTCTGGGAATACTTAAAGGTAAGCACCTCAGTTTTATTTGCCCACTTAAAATTGTCTCATCTCTGATCAGAAGTGATTTAGTTTGGTTTATAAAGCAGAACGCCCCTCTAAATATATCAGAGTCTGATACTGGATTTTTCTGTAATAATGGCTATCCTTGAACAGAAAATGATCAGTTGAATTAAGTACACTATAAAGAGCAAAAGTTGGAGACAAATCATGAAAATCTTATAAAGAATACTTATTAATTTATCAATTTTGAGAATAAGAAGTTTCCACTTTTTCAACTGACAAGTTTGTGGACATTTAATTGTGTAATTATGAATTTATCAACAGAAAACCTGGTCATCCATACAAGGCAGCCCTCTAGATCCCTGGCAATCCTCTATATGTGGAGCAACCGCTGGTATGACATCAACTCATTGATTATACAAGTGCATTTCTTTGTAATTGTTAAGTAAAAATGCTCCATAATTTTGTTATCCTCTCGCAACAAAGTTTGAGGGGATTTAGTCACATGCTTGTTGGTGAATGAATGAGTGTGTAACGGAAGTTACACGTGCAATAATTTTTATCAGAATCTAGTATTTTTTAGGGGATGCCCAGCTTTTCGCATCTTCCAAAGTCAAGGGTTTCTGATCCACTACACTCCACATAAACCCTTGAAGGAATAGATTGAGTTTTTCAGGGTTTCCTATCGAACCATCCGGTGAGATTACAAATTCTGAACTTTACTGACCTCTGCTATCGACCAGTTAGAGTAGGCAAATTAAACAAAGAATGCGAAACAAAATTGGAAGTCCGTAATAAAATCAACATAGCTTTAACTTAAATGAGACAAGCATTTAACTGTGTTATTTAATGGTAAAGTCGTTTTCACTGGTACTAAAACTGGCTTTATTTTCTGTTAACTATTTATTTCAGATTAAATAAAAAAATGTTTTTGATTGGCTCATGCTAACTTTTATGAGGTCAATTAGCACATTTATAACCCCGTCAAATTCTGTCTATTCGGTCAAGCATTTATGTGGAGCAGAGTGGATCAGGAACTCTTGTCTTAGGAAGATGTGACCTTGTTGGATTATGTATTCTATGTTGGAAATATGGGTATTAAATATCAGTATGATAGGACTGACCAGAAAGGGTCATGCATGTAATTTTAAATCTGTTTTTTTTTATGTCAACCATCTATTTTTGTGCCAAAACATTTTTTTTTCTTCAAATTTTTATCACATTTTCCATTTTTGTCTGATTTGAACAAAACTTCGTACAATTGTTGACAATATAAGAATTCAAAGAAAGTATATTTTCCATTTGATCAAATGAAAGATAGTATTTTTGTTCCAGACTGAAAATCAGTCAGGGTTAATGTAACACTTTAAGGTATTAATGTTTAATATCAATAATTAACCTAATGCCATTCTGTAATTATTATATACCCGACTGTGTATCACTCTATTCTAAAGTTGATTTCAAGCAAACACATGACGTTGTGATCCGACAGTACGGATCACCACATTTTAGTTTTCTGAATCCATATCACCCCTCTTTTACACAGTATGCGTGATTTTTTTTCTCTCGTATCAAAAGGTTCCTTGAAAATGTTCTGTTTAAAGGATAAAGGTTGTATAATTGTTCCCAAAAGTTTTCTTTTATATTTTCTAATTGTAGAGGGGTATATGATAAATTTATCAATATAACAGTAACTTGATCCAAAGAGCTGTATCACCATGAATTGACAGGCGCGGATCCGTCTGATCTAATGATCCATGCCTGTCAACTCGGTGTGAAAGGCTTTAATTGTGGATCAAGTTATAGTTATAATAATATACGAGGGGGTATCAAAAAGTTCGTGGACTAGCGCCATAAAATTAAAACCGCTTTAGGTACATTAATGAATTTTAAAATATTTAGTTAGCATCATCTTTTCTATCTAAAGAATAAACCATAAATCATAAATTTTATTTTTTAATAAATTAGTAATGTTTTTGTAAGCAATGGTATGTCCAGGCGGCGCAACCTCGAATATGACGTTTTTTCGACCTAAGTATTACCGAGAAAAACTATTTTGTTATGAACATTTGACATCCAAAAATCCCGTTTATTCAGGTGTGTGATGGGACACTACTGTTCCGTAAAATATGCAATTTTTACCTCATTCTGTAAGTTCTATGAAATTTTATCGTAAAATTTGTTTGGAGTGTCCAAACAATTAAGGGCTTGAACATGACGTCAAAAAGGGAGAGGGGTTTCTTTTTCCAACATTCTACAAAGTTTTGTCCCTAAAAAAACTGGTATAGGCCTATGAAATCTTTAAACTGGCTACAGAGAAATAAAATGCATATAGAGTACTTGTTTTTTTAATGCCAAAATGGATTCAGCAAGAAAAGGGATGCACAGTTAATGTCGATTTGTAGTCAATGTGTGAAAAGTCAATCACGTCAAAAAATGAAGTTGATCATGTGTGATAAATTATGAACTTCAAAAGGCAAAATATGCTGGCATAAAATCAAGCGAGGATCTCTCCTTATGTATAAATTCATTTGCAATATTATATGCTATGAAAGCAGCTGTTCATGACATTGTAAAGTCATATAAACAGGACGGGTTTAAGTCCTTACTCAACTCCAGGGAATCTCATCAAGGTAAGTTTATGAGGTAGAAAAATCGGACATTGAATAACAACGACGTTGTCGGACGTCATGAAACTAAACGGAGACAGCGCCGGGTGATCATATAATGTCGTTTTCATTTTATAATAATTTGGCAAATAATGAACGTATCAAGCTAAAATTTTCTAAATTTCTTTATATTTTGTTGTTTTATGTTCCTTATAAATTTTGAAAGCACAGACTACATAGTACTAATTTTGTCGACTCAGTCCACGAACTTTTTGATAACCCCTCGTATATTTATGTTTTGTAGGATGTATAGCAGCAGGAATAACTACACCACTAGATGTCGCTAAAACTAGGATCATGTTGGCAGAGGTAAATAGTGATATACATGAACTTGACATTATTTGATGGTTTTAATGCTAACAAGTCCTTCATCTCTTAAATGAAATCTACATAGAGTCAAGCCTTGTTCATCCAGATGCTTCATTTTCTAAAAGAAATTTGTGGGTAACAGTCACATTTTTAGCTATCATATAAAAGGAAAGATTTGATAAACTGGACCCTTCATTAATTCGGACAATTTGTTGGGAAACACAAGGGTCTGGATTAACAAGGAACGACTCTTTATACGACTGTGCATGTATCTCAAATGAAAATATTTTCATATCTCATATAGAAAACATTATCTAATAAAGAAAATCTTCATACATCAAGAAACTTAATCCTCCACAGGAAACTTTCATATTTTGTAGAAGAAATCTTGACCTCTCATTTCAGAAAGTTTGCCCTAAAAGCAATTGAGAAGTTTACAATTTTATATATTAATTTAAACCTTTTCTTTCTGCCAGACTGGATCTGCATTGTCCACAGGAAGTATTACCTTTGTCCTCAAAACTGTGCATAGAGAAAGTGGAGTTAGAGGGTAGGTTTTGGGGTATTTTTCAGAGGTTCACGTTATTACGGTGAAACTTCTCAAAAAATTGGCACCTTAAACTTTGAGAAAACCAGTACCCCTTCAAAATCGGTCGATATAAAAAGTCCATGAAGGCAATCTCAGTTCTTTTGGAATCTAAGAAAACCAGCAACCCCTCTTATCTGGCCGTTTGGTCTGGTACAGCTGATAACCAGTTCAGAGAAGTTTCACTATACTTCTATAATCATAGTGAAGTCATATGTTTTTATTTTCTGAATGATGTATTAAGAACATAATCACATAGCATTATCACGTTCAGCAAAGAAATTTTAGTAGTCATTAGACAGATATTAGTTTTTTTTCGAATTAGTGGGTAGGATATCTCTCTTCATGCTTTGTCAGAGATGATTGTTTAATTAAATAATCTGAAACTTTTCTGTTCCTCACTGACAAAGTTATTTACTGGGGTGGTGCTCAGTTATTAGATAAGTTATATATACGTTTTCTTTTTCTGTTCCTATTTGACAAAGTTATTTGCTGGGGTGATGCTCATTTATTACATGTAGATAAGATATATAAGTTTTCTTTTTCTATTTCTATTTGACAAAGTTATTTGCTGGGGGTGGAGCTTAATTCTCCTATTCTCCTTTGTCAGGTTATTTGCTGGGGTGGTACCCAGGATGCTGTGGATAACATTAGGTGGTGCCGTTTTCCTTGGAGTGTATGACAAATCGAAACTTGTAATTTCCTCAATCCTGATAGAGCCGGGTTAAAAAAAAGTTCAAATTTAGAACATTAACTCTTATTTTAAAATTTTAATAAGTGTTTAATATCTACATTGAAGCCTTCAAGTGCAAAAATGCACTTTTCTTAAATTGAGGTGGTTAAGTTTTGCTAAAATTAGCTTAATGCATGTACATTCTCTGATACTCTAAAGTAAAAACAGTACCTACAATATAGAAAAGTCCATTTTTGGGACTATAAACTGTAGGCTTTTAGTGAAAAAAAAATGATAAAGATTTTAACTGCACATTTAAAAATTCTATATTTTTAAATTGGATAATATTTTGTTATGTTCATATTCATAATGTAAAAAAAAGAAAGAGAAGTCTAATTTGTTTGTATTTGTTTTGTCAGTCACCATTCTTAAATATGGAAACGAGACTTCGAAACCTTCTTTTATAGACCAAATATTTTATTTCAAAAAGACAACTAATGAAAAGTATTTCCTTAGTGATGAAATTTTAAAATCATTCTCTCCTTCTCTATATCCACAATTACAGAGTTTATACTCCCCTCTCTCTCCTTCATACATCGTGCCCCCCCCCCCTCTCTCTCTCTGTATGACTCAACTGTCATCAAAATCATATCTGGTAGACACTCTGATTGGTTCCTCTGGCTGGACTGTAGCATAGAGTGGATTTTCAAAAGTGATTGGTATAAAGCCTGTGGCCTCATCTATGTGAGCAACATCAGACTCGTTGTTATAGCGACGGCTTCCGTTTATCACATGCATCTGTTGTCTCTAACTTGATAGGCTATGTACTTCAAATGCTGAAAATATTTTGCTTAACATCTATAAATATTTTTTTATCTATTTCCAAAAAGTAAATAAATAAATAAATTAATTAATCAATTAAAATAGATAAGTAAATAAATAAATAATAAAGATAAAATAAGAAACTGCTTTCAGTGTCTTAGTGGTTGGGATGCTATAGTTTATGGAATTTTGCAACTGTCTTATTTGTGTGTCCTTCAAACTTCTAGGTCAAGGTCATGAAGTCAAAAATGAAATACCTTTCTAAAAGATGTTGTCATAGGAAATGTATATGTAAATTGTGACAGCCCTATCTTCTCTTATTCAAAAGTTATTGCCAGTATAAAAAAATGAAAAAAAGTCTGTAGGTTAAACATTTAAGTTAAACCATGAGGTCAAAAACAAGAGTATATTCGCAACCAAGTAAAGCACATGCCTGTCATATGCCCTATCTTCTCTCATTAAAATGTTTAAATTTTAGATAATTAGATCAAACTTCAAAGTCAAGGTCATGGGTTTAAAATCAAAGTACATTTTGAAATGTCTTGTCACAGTAAATGCACATGTCAAATATGTATGTCCTCTCTTCTCTCATTCAAAAGTTATCACAAATGTTAATGTTTTTGAAAATAAGATTTAACATGGAGGTTAAGGTCACGGGGTCAAATAGCATAACAAATTTGGAAACGTTTTGTCACAGGTAATGCAACTATCAAATATTAACACCCTATCCTCTCTCATTCAAAAAGATATCAACAACGTTAAGGATCCAACTTTAAGGTCAAGGGGTAAAAAATTATTAATAGAATGTTCCAAAAAGTATTGTCCCGGTTAATGCATATGTGAAATATGAATGTTCTATCTTCTGTCATTAAAAAGTTATAACCAATATTAAAATATTTAAAAAGTAGATCAAACTTTAATGTCACGGGGTAAAAAATCGCAGTATGTTTTGAAACGTCTTGTCACAGATAATGTACATATGAAATATGGAAATCCTACTTCTTCTCATTCAAAAGTTATAACCAAGGTAAAAGTTGTGTTAAAAGAACGAAGGTGCTTTTGATTGGCATTCGGCAGGAATCGGGCGCACTTTAGAAGCGAAATTTTTATTGATCTGTATCATATTTTAGCATACATTTGATGTATCGGGTTCCTGTGAAATAGAAATGGAAAATATTTTCCAGATATACATATGTAGTGTGACAGTCTTGATTTGCTAAATGCTTTGAAATATGGCTAGAAAATTCATTTGGTACAAAATTTTACATTTATACCCAGGTTTTTCTATAAATTACTATCTCTGGGTCATCTCTCTACGATTTTAAAACGTTACATGTGTACATTTAAAGTCAAGGAAAAGTCCCCCAACCCTCCCCAAACGTTCAAACCTAGAATTTGTTGGACTTTTTCACAAATCATTTAAATTACACTTATTTATCATGTATACCACAGGATAAATAAGGAAAAAAAAACCAAATAATGTTTCGATACAAAAAAAATTACCCACTATACATTATAAGAGAGAGAGGTGTGCCACTCCTGCTTGTTTACATTGTTACTGTGATCCCTGCTGGTTTCTGGGTTAAAAAACGTATTTATTTGACTTCAACCTGGAATGTCGGCTCAGTTTGACTCTACATGTATTTTTGTCTTTTATCATGCGGTTAAATAGGTTTTGAAACGCATAAGAATCCCACAAATACTCCTCTAACACGATTACAATCATTGCGTTTTAAAATTTAATAAGTAAAAGCAAAGGAAGTACACAAAGAATGTATTACGTATTACGATAAAATCCGAGAGATTTTTTACCTGACGTAATGATTTCTCTCGGGTGTTCTTTATTCTCTATGCATTTTCGTTGCTTTTTTTCAAAGCACTGACTGTTATTGTGTTTAAGGAATACTTGTGGGATTTATGAGGTGCAGATTCAATGTGATAGCATGATCAAAGACAGAAATATATGTAGAGACAATGTGAACCGACACTTTAGGTTGAAATTAAATAAATACTGGTTTTTTTTTTACCCTAAAAGACCAGGAGGGGCATATACCTTATTATGAATAGTGGAGTATTTTATGAATGGAACGATTATTGGAGGGGGTCCCGATTTTTCTTATGGCATGCATGATAAATAATTTAAGTGCAATTGAAAAAGATCTGTGAAAAAAGTCCCACAAGTTCTAGAGTTGACTATTAGGGGGAGGGCACAAGCGCGTTGTCACTTAGCACCGGCACGTTGTTACTGAAGTATTGTTGACCTTTTGCAAGTGATAGCGCGCTAGCGCTAAATGACAACGCGCCATGCATGGGGTTGTGAACAACGCCCTAGCGCGTTGTTACTTACGTGCTGTTACACTTTTACAAATGGCCCTATCGGAACACTATAGACATCAGAGTTCATGATAATTTTATATCGTGACATGACGAAATTAAGAATGATTGGATGCTGGTCATATATTTAGTAATGTTCTAACTTCCGCAATTTGATTAAAATCAGATCCTTTGATCCGCTCACATAGATCACTACACAAGTAGCGATCTACGTGAGCGGATCAAAGGATCTGATTTTAATCAGATTGTAATTTCCGGTCACTCAACCTCTGTTTACAATGTAATATAATAATATATACTAGTATTTCTCAAAGAACTGTAATATAATTAATAATTTAATTATTTCAACTTTTTAAAAAAAATATATTAATTTTTTCTCCTATTACTTCTGAAACTTTTTTCTTTGCAATGATTACTATAAAAAAAATATTTTTTTTGTGGGGTCAATGTTTCGAAGTTTGAGGGAAAAAAATACGTTTGATGTGATTTCATGGTTGAAGAAGTAATGAGCTCTTATGCATTAAATATCACATATAACATGGAGGATATGAATATGAAATATATCTATAAAACTATTTGTTTTAATTTGTTTATTTGTTTGACATCTGTGAAACCATAGACATTTTTAAATACATGAAGAAATACTAGTAACTAATGGTCCTTGTTATTTGGTTATTTTCATCTCAATAAACCACATTCTACATTATACAAGAGTTGATTCTTCGTTATATAATTCAGCCTAGAAATGAACATTTATCAACAATTATTTTTATCAAAAATGACTAAAGATTATACTTATGGTAACTTGTAGTGTTCGCAACAAAAATGCTATGTATTTTCAAAGCTAGATAAGATGCGAACGAAGATATCCAGGATAGTAAGACAAATGTATTTGAAATTTAAGAGTATTCAATTTAATTTTTACATGATAATTATATAGGTCTTTTGTGTAACTGTAAAGGTACTTTCCAAATGTACTATGATTTTTGACCCAGTGACCTTGACTTTGAGGTTTGATCTACTTTTCAAAAAAAAAATTCAAACTTTAACCTTGATCATAACTTTTGAATGAGAAAAGATAGGGCTTTCATATCTCATATATACATTACCTGTGACCAGGCCTTTCAAAATATACTATGATTTTAAACCCCGTGACCTTGACCTTCAAGTTAGACTTACTTTTCAAAAACTTTAATAGGTTATAACTTTTGAATGGGAAAAGATAAGGCTTCCATATTTGACTTGTTTCCAAATATTTTATGATTTTTAACCCCATGACCCTGACTTTGAAGTTTGACCTAATTTTCAAAACTTTTAACATTAGTGATTTCTTTTGAATGAGAGATGATATGGTGTTCATATTTGACAAGTACAGTACCTGTGTCAAAAAAATTCCGAATCTAATATGATATTTATGTAATTTTCATTAAGTGTAATATCTAATTTGCTTTTGTACATAGGAAAATTTAACCATAAACTTTGATATTGCTACGCAGACAATTATTTTGTCATCCAAAACTGACAATATTGTCGCTAGAAGCAGAGTGAGCAATTCCTATTCAAAAAACTGCAGACTTTCAAAAAATGACATTTTTGTTTCCATGGAGAGCAGCTGCCGAATTTGAAAAATATAAGATTGCATGAACAACTATACTTGTTACTTGGATTATTTATAAGCTCAGTTCAATGAAGTTTGGGGGCTTACTAGTATGCTTTAGTGTCGGCATACCAGGCTAAATTTTTGAAAGTTTTTTTTCCCCTATTTTGATCATAATTGCATGTATGATGCATCTATAGTAAGTTTCATTGTGCCAGTAAAATTTCAGGCAGTATTTTCCAGAAGAATGACCAGGTTTATGCTCTTGGAGAAGGAAACATATTGTGGAGCAGGTTAAAGTTTTAGACGCAGGCCTTATACATGTTATAGCCCAATGGCGACTTACATGTAACTCACATGGTTGATACAGCTAGGGATGCAAACTACAAGACTTGCTTTGGATGCATGATCTGACTTACAATTTTGTAATGAGTCAACAGAATAAAGTTTCTGGATCAGGTCCATTCCGAAGCAACCATAAGCCTTACTTGGACCAACTTTCATGAATGATTCTTACATGTACAGGTTAGCGCAATGCCAAATTTGCTCTGGATGCTGGGATGAGCCAAGATCTGATCTATATTCTCCAGATAAATTCATGTATTAAGATAAAAGATTTTGGAGCAGGTTCATCCCTAAATTATCTTAAATCAGGTGACAAATTTTACATAGTATGATGCATGTATGGATGCACAATACTAGAACATTTGTTAGATGGTATACATTGTCTTACTCAGGTTTGGACAAATCACCCAAATGGAATAAAATGGCCCATTTGGGTTAAAATACACCAAATGGCATTTAAACTTCTTGGAGATCAATCTCACATATTGTAGCATTATAGTGAAACTTAATTGCTTTCCAAAAGTTAAGGCATTTAATTTATGTTGATGCGGATTTACAATATTTATAGCCAAAATAACATTTTTTAAAAATTTGCACTGTAAATTTAGATCCCATTTGGGATATTATAACCCAAACAGGCTAATATATCCCATTTCAGCAAAAGGCCCCAATCTGTTACTACGAGATAATATATTTGTCAAGGTCAGCTTTGTATCTTTAAGATTGTTCAATCCATTTGTGAGAACCCTTCTGGACAAAATCAAGTGAAACAATAACAGTACGTCATCCAGCTTTCTTAGGGATGACATAATTACATACTGAAATCACTCACATTTTCAGGCAGTGTGTTATGTACATCTGACAAGTTTTCAAGTCCTTTACTCTCTACCTACTGCAATTGATACTTGTGGATGCCATGTATAAAAATTGTGGGTTATATGTAAATGATAAACTGATTACCAATAATATACAAGTTGTCAAGGTTAGAGAGCTTTTATTTAATGACTTAAAAAATATGTTCCACAAGTTGAACTTCAGACTCAAGCTAACATTGGGCAATTTAATGGTGACCTTTACAAGTCCTACTCTGTCAAAGATAATCAATACTTCAGAGATACAACTCATGTGTATACAATGACTATGTACTGTGTATATATACATGTAAGGTAGATCCATCTCCAAAAAAATAATCCCTTAATAAAAGATTTTGTCAGGAAAGGATTTATGATTTATAGCAACTCTTCTGTGAATCTTTACATTAGTTCTGTTCAAAATAATCAATTTTCTAGTATATCTTATAGATTCTAAAAGATGGCTGAAGATTTGTGTCACATTTTGATTACCATATGGCCTGTATAATTGAAATAATTGAAAAATGATAACATGGGTGAATTAACAAGGCAAGCAAAATGCCTATATAGTGCGACAAACATGAAGGTGAGAAATTAAATCTCAAATATAACAACATTTTCTTTGATATCTCATCTAACATTATTTAAAGTAATATACTATATGTAAAATCTCTACAATGTGCAAAAATTTCACAAAGATTGAAATTATTTGCTTATGAAATAGAATACACACACTTAAGAGGGCAAAAAGGATAATTTTCTCATAATACAATGTATAACACAATTTTTCAATATGAGCGGGTCTTCGCTCCATTTTTTTTTAAAAAGTTATCCGCAAAGTTTGGGTAAAAATATACATTTTTTGTTTAACAAGAAACATGGAGCAAAGACCCACTAAACCGTAAAAATACACTTTTATGATACAACAATCACACCTTTCTGGGAAATACTTGAAGTCCATTATTAGTCAAGGGTCATATCACAAACATGATTTAAATGCCACTATTCAGGAGTTGCGTAGAGTAGTGGTTAGCGTGCTAGTTTCAAAGGGAAAAAATGATCCTCAGGATTTTTATTGCTAGGATTTTAATCCCAAAAATACCATATAATTTTTTTTCATAACAGTATAATTTTTGCCAAGAAAATTTTCCTCAGAAAAGTTTTGTTTATCATATTTTCAAAAATTTCAATAATGAGAACTTCACTCTAAATACAAAATTAAGAATTTCAAATTGAATATGATTTTTATATATCTGAGGATACAGACATTCTGCATACCTTGCTCACCCATCTCCTTTTACACTAGTCTAGAACAGGATGCTTTCCTAATTTGTGGTCTATGTAAAAAGCTAACAGTTACCACAGGTTTGCTATCTTTTGTTTAATATAATTGTTCAATTGTTTCAGATTCTTACAGAAAATAAAATATGTCTTTATGTCATGTCTCTGTTAATTTTCTCTTCCGTTTCCTTTTCCTCTTCTTTTTTGGCTGAGGTTTAGATGATGTGTGGGAAACCTTTGCTTGTTTTGAAATCATGGTGTCCTTCGTTTCCTCTTCATCTGAGGAATCTGGACTCGGCTGTTTGTTATATTTTACTGTCCTTTCTGTTCGGTCATGTTTTACCCCTGCGGAATTAAAAAATAAGAAATACCATATATTGTTATCAAAACATAATTAGCATAATGTTACAATGTACCATTTCGAACCATATTTCAATTTCAGGGATAAATATATTTTAATTATCAATTTAAAAATGTATTATAAATATTTTCAAATGTGCTAAACATAAATGTGTACAACTTGTTTGTAAATTTCATCATGGACACAAAACTTTTAAAACATGAACAGGCGTATTATAAATTTGTTAACTGTGGTGCAAGCCTTAGTTGCCCCCTCCCCATTTTCTGCTTCTGAGAACCTTTGACAAAGTATCCCCCCTCCCTTTTCTTGTGACTGGCTTTGGTGAGTTTCTTGTTCACTTTCTGTTGTATAAAGGCTGACAATGATGAAGCATCTTTATTTTGTGTTGTACTCTGTATTACTGTTGTGGTGACCTGTGGTGACTGGAAATCCATTGAACAGCTGTCTGACTTTGATACTTCTTTATTTTCATTGCTGTTAATCTGTTTTGACTTTTTACAGTTGCCCTTATTGGCATGATCACTGTAAAAGTGAATAAATCTAAAAATTTACTGATATCTATTTAATTATCAAACATTGCTTAATAAATTCTATATAAATAAACATTATATAACAACATAAAGAGAGAACAATTCCAGGTAAGTGTCATTGGCATATGCATTTGTGTTATCTATAATTGGGGTTAACAGAACATCAACTTCCAATAAAATTTGAAATTGGTCGACTCAAAATATATGAGCTGATGAGTCGCACAAATTAGGAGATTTTAATTTTAGAATGCCTAAATTGGTTCAAATTATTTTTATTTCTAATTGGGGTATATCCTACTTTTTTCATAAAAAATTCGAATATTTTAAAATTGCAATTGTAAGTGTGCCTATAAACAGATTACAAGTAATATTAAATTTAAGCATTTAACATTTTCACAGATAAATTTTACCCCCCCCCCCCCTTTTCTTATACCTTCAAATCAAAGTGGTATCTTTATTTCTCTTTCATCTAATAATTACAACTAGCAAACCTATCCTCTAGCTGTCTTTTCCTTGATAATTTCTGTCCAAACCACGAAGCAACCTCATCAAGAGACGAAAGATCAACTTCCAATGTTGACATCGCACTGATCGCAAATGAAACCGGAAGCACGTGGGGTCCGTAAACAAAGGGCAGATAACTCTATTGACATTGCACCGGTTCTGTCCATGAGGCCACGGTCACTGTCTACTGTTCTTGAAAACGCCTAGAAGATTGAGTTCAGCACAGTGTCATGAATGTAACAGGTAATGAAATGCTCCTTTGGTATAGAATATTGGTCCCGATCTTTGATCTGGCCTGAATACAGGTCAAACATTTTAAGAATTAAGCGGGCACTATTCTGCTTTAAAATACAAATGATTTGACAAATCAGTATAAACACTGCGAAATGTGCTTCACATCTGTTAAGCATTGTTTATTAAATGTATAGTATCTGCTGTACTATAAATTCTATTAATGATGAAGGGAAAAATACATGAATAAAGTGTTAAATGCAGTGCACTTTGTTATTTAAAACTGATATAGAGCTTTATCATTGATGATAGAAATCAATTCTCAAATAAAAAAACCAGTAAAATTTGTCATAAAGGTAAATTCATTTGATGCCCTTAATGAGAAATAAATATAATCTGATAATGATTTATATAATTCAACATTTATATTTTTCTTGTAAATATATCTATTTAAGGTGTGTCGGGAAAGTCCTTAATAATTTCTTAGAGGTGCCTTTACAAGCTTTTGTCAAAGAGGAGTATCTTAGCTACTTTACATCAGCATCTTGTTTATATTCTATTTTTAGTATTTTATTAATTTTATAGTGTAGCTGTAGGCTTTCATTTATGCAACGAGAATGGATGTTATGGAAGCATGGGTCACTGGTTTAGTAAGTTCTTATTACTTCATAAGAGGCATTATCATATAATTGATACCTTAAAAAGTGTTTCAAGCACATTTAATGTAAAATTATCTAGAAGATGAATTAATAAATATATTTATGATTTTTCCATTTCGTGTGTAACTTAAGTAAATATGCTTAGTTAATAAATCTGTCAGTAATAGTCCCAGTATAAAGGTTTATGCAATGTTGTTTACAGGCAGGAGGTTGTGCAGGAATGTCTGTAGATGTCACTCTTTTTCCATTGGATACAGTGAAGACACGCCTACAGAGTGAGGTGGGCTTTGTTCAGGCGGGAGGATTCCGAGGAATTTACTCTGGTCTGTCATCAGTCATAGCAGGATCAATCCCCACTGGTAATACCCTGATTATAACTACATAGCTCAAAATTAGACTAATAAACACTTAATATGTTCATATTTGTTACAAGTATATTATTTAATCAAATGACTGAAAAAATTGAGTTTTTGTAAAAGATATTGGAGATTAGAACACTCAATTTATTGGCTTATGTAATAACATAGTTGCCAACTCACCGGATTTCGTCTGGTTACACCTTTTTTTTTTGACCCTTAACCTGATTATTTTTTATGACATGGCGGGTCATGCTTTTCACCCGATTTTTGCTGAACAACCCGAAAATCTCCTGATTTCCGGATTTGTTTTGTAAATTAGGTTGCAGTTTTAACCAAACTTGGATCTGTGTAAACAATGCCGAGATCATTATCAGGGCCAGCAGGAACAAACTGAACCAAGAGAAACGATATTTATGTACATAAAGGAATCTTGGAAAACAACTTTCATCAGATAAAATAGTGATCGAAGATAGTATAGGCCTAACTGTACATTTAATACATATTGCACTTGTTAATTAAATTAATTCGGGAGTGGAAAAATAACTTCAAAACCAAAACTGGAATACTTTCAAATTTAGCACAAACATGTGCTTCAAATCAGCAAAGCAGATTCTGAAAAGGTTTTTTTTTTTTTTTTTTTTTTTAAAAAAAGCACACTTAATTCAGGTCAATACTGAGTAATGAAACCTTCAATGCTCTTTATAACATGTAAATTTAATACATATATATATATATATATATATATATATATATATATATATATATATATATATATATATATATATATTGAATTTTTGTCATTGTAAGTTAAAGCCTCTTTTTAATAAAAGAATTCTCAATACACAAATCCCTATATATATATATATATATAATCATGGTGAATATGTCGTGAATGTCGTTATGCGTCATGACCAGATTTTTACATGTTGGAGGTTGGCAAGTAAGTGTAATAATGTGGAAACATGGATTCAAACTCTTTCCTATAACTGAGAATTTTTTTCTTTCAGCTGGTCTGTTTTTCTGCACCTACATGTATAACTGATTTTTTTTTCAGCTGGTCTTTTTTTCTGTACCTATGAAGGTGTGAAGGTTGTTGGGAGGAAATACCTGAGGGAGGATCTGGAACCTATTCTTCACATGACTGCAGCCTCAGCAGGGGAAGTGGTAGGTAATGGGGAGGGGGCTTCCCAGGGGAAGGGGGGTGAAGGGGAGGGGGTATGTGGTACCCAGGGGAAGTGGTGTGAAGTGGGAGGGGAGGTATGTGGTACCCAGGGGAAGAGGTGTGAAGGGGGAGGGGAGGTATGTTATACACAGGGGAAGTGATGTGAAGGGGTAGGGGAGTATGTGGTACCCAGGGGAAGTGGAGTAAAGGGGGAGGGGGTATGTGGTACCCTGAGAAGTGGCAAGTATTGTGTGTAGAGTGAGTAGGGGGTATATGGTACCCAGGGGAAGTGTTGGGTACCCAGAGAAAGTAACAAGAGGCCCATGAGCCACAACGCTCACCTGAGTAACTTTGGCCTTGCTGTTTTTCACCTGATCCCCCCTTGTAGTACTTATTGTGGGGTCATGATTTGAACAGTTAGAATCTACACTACCCCAGGATGCTTCCACATAAGTTTCAGCCTTTCTGGCCCAGTGGTTCTTGAGAAGAAGATTTTTAAATATTTTTTCTGCATATTTCAATGTAAAACTTGGATTCCCTATTGTGGCCCTGCCCTACCCCTGTGGGTCATGATTCAAACAATTTAGAATCTACCCTATCCCAGAATGCTTCTACATAAGTTTCAGCTTTTCTGGCCCAGTGGTTCTTGAGAAGAAGATTTTTTAATGACCCCACCCAGTTTTTCTCTTTTCTTGATTATCTCCCCTTTCAAGGGGACTTGGCCCTTTGTTTTAAAAATTTAAACTCCCCTTTACCCAAGGATGCTTTGTACTAAGTTTGGTTAAAACTGGCCCAGTGGTTCTTGAGAAGAAGTTGAAAATGTGAAAAGTTTACAGACGGACGACGGACAAGGGGTGATCAGAAAAGCTCACTTGAGCTTTCAGCTCAGGTGAGCTAAAAAGTGGAAGAATCTAGGAGGAAAGGTCAGTACTCATAAGAAGTAATTAAAGAAAAGAATTGAGCATCCATAGAGAGTATTTCATGTAAATAGGAAGTGATGAATATCCAGGACAAGTGGCTTATTGATTAGTAGTTTCACTGGTAGAGGTGAGCACCTTCAGATACATGTAGTGTTAGTACTCTGGGGAAGTTGTTTGTATACAGGGAAGGTGTTTAGATTCAGTGGAAGTTGTGAGATTCCAACTGAAATCTCGGAGTATGATGGGAAAATTATGAGTACCAAGCTTGGAGAATGATGAGTATATAGGGGATGTAGTGTGTAGCAGTAAATGAAACCCAGCAGCACATGGTCATAGAACAATGTCTACAACCTACAAAGACTTTTTTTATTGCAATAATACTCTATGTGTACATAAATTGGCATATTCAGAATTTAACGCAATCGCTTGGTATGGACTTGTTCGCGTAATCATGAATTAGCGCTACACATGTCCTTGCATTGTATTTTATTTATACATGATTTCTTAGCAGTATTCATGAATTAGAGGATCATTGTCTGCGCCAAAGCTGCTAAAATATGAAGCCCGCTTTTTTAAGTACACATACAGTATCTCATTATTTTATTCTATGTAGACGGCATGTTTGATACGAGTTCCTGTGGAAGTGGTTAAACAAAGAGCTCAGGCGACACGGTTCTCCTCCTCATCAGTTCTGAGGGAGACACTCAGATCAGAGGTAAAACAACCCCTCATCTTATTCTGGTGGTGGTTGGATATTTAATCTCTCTCTGATTTTATACAAGACCACACTTCTTACAATAGGAATATTAATTCTCCCACAAATCAGTTAAATATTCTAAATGTTTTTCCCATGAGTTTTCTTTTCCTTTCCAGGGTATGAGAGGTTTATACCGGGGGTATGTCAGTACGGTGCTGAGGGAAATTCCCTTCTCCTTTATACAGTTCCCACTCTGGGAATACTTCAAGGTAAGCAACTCATTTTTATTTAGAATTATCTCATCTTTGTGAAAAATTAATAAGTTTACTCTAATATGTTTTACGGTGCTACAATTGGGGCAAGCACATTTGTATACCATGAAAACCTTTACAAAGCTTACACTTTAAATTTTGCATCTGCCTCTTCAAACTTCAAACCCCACATGACAGTATAGACTGTGATGTCACATGATGTTGTATGTAAGTTGCATTTCCATAGCTGAGTCTAAATAGGCCTTTTGCAATTTGGCAATGAAAGGCATTGTAGAATAGATGCAATTATTTTTTGTTTCGTTTAAGCTCTCTGCAAAAACTAAATCTTAATACATGATAACTGCTGGACCGTTTATTTGCCATTATCACAACAAATGCTGATAGCAACTGAATTTAGGCAAGGCTTCACACATAAATATGCTTGATGAATATACAGATTTTAATTCGAATTTTGTCTGTTCTTTAAGGAATGAATTAAATAGCTTCCCAAGTTATATGGTATAACCTGGGTTGGGACAGTTTACACTTCACGGGCGGTTTATAAAAAAGCGTAAACTGTTCCAACCCAGGTTATATGGTATAATTCATTTTTCCATCATGAAGTGCATAGAAACAAAGATGATTTCTCAATCAAAAATGCCTTCAAATTGTACATTTTTTAAATGTAACATCAAGTGGATGGAGATGTTTTTGACGTAAGTCATTTTGACATAGGCAACACAGGTTATATGATATAAAACTAATTTTTTTATCCAATCAAATGATGTGTTACAAAGAAAATGAAATTATTACATATTGTTAGTCTGTTGAGCTCACTGTGCTCGCTATAAAATTTTCATGATTTTTCTCCAATTTTGCTCCATATAGTGCACTTAATTCATATCATTTTTATTGCTAAAAGATAGCCATTATTACAGAAAAATTCAGTATCAATCATATAGAAGAATAATGTGCTGTATAAACCAAAACAGAATCAATTCAGATTTTGAGAGTATCTCTCTTAAAAGCTTAAAAAAGGGGAAGCAGGGTTCTAACTGATTGACAGAGAGATAATTTCTGAAAGCATTAAAAAAAGTTAATTTACATTTAACCTTAATTAGAAGGTTTCCACTTTTTCAACTGACAAGTTTGTAGACATTTAATTGTGTAGTTATGAATTTATCAACAGAAAACCTGGTCATCCATACAAGGCAGCCCTGTGGATCCCTGGCAGTCCTCTATATGTGGAGCAACTGCTGGTATGACATCAACTCATTGATTAAAAGTGTATTTCTTCGTAATTGTAAAGTGAAAATGCTCCATACTTTTGTGTACATTGGAATATATATTCTATGTTGACAATATTGGTGATCTCAGTATCATAGAGCAAAAATGGTAATACATTTGTAATGTGTGTGTCATCCAATTGCTTTTGTGTGTAAACAATTTTTCAAAATGTTACAAGTGCTTTTTCACATTTTTGTCTGATTTAAATAAAACTTTGTACTATTGTTGGCTATATTACTGTAGAATTTCAAGAGGGTATATTTTCCATTTGATCAAAAAGATAAACATTCTTGTTCCAAATTGAAAATAAGACAGGTAATTGTACCTTGAAAAAGTTTGAATGTTTAATATTAATTAAAAGCCAAATGATATTCTGTGATTATATTTTGTAGGATGTATAGCTGCAGGAATAACTACACCACTAGATGTCGCTAAAACTAGGATCATGTTGGCAGAGGTAAATAGTCAAGTACATGAAACAAGTCCTTCATATCTCAATCTCATGAAAGAAATCTACATACAGTCAAGCCTTGTTCATCCAGATGCTTCATTTTCTAAAGAAAATTTGTGGGGAACAGAATTGACATATTTATCTACAAATTATAAAAGGAAAGTTTTGATAAACTGGACGCTTCATTAATCCTGACAATTTGCTGGGGAAAACAAGGGTGTGGATTAACAAGGATCAACTTTTTATAAGAAATTACATGCATGTAATGTGGATGTACAGTCAAACCTCGTTATCTCAAACTCAATGGGACTGAGAGAAAACTTTGAAATATCCGAGGATTCGAGATATCCAGGGTAAAATACTTAAAGAATAAGGGTTGGGACCTCAAAATCACTTTGACATATCCATGGTATTTGAGATATCAGTGTTCGAGATACCAAAGTTCAACTGTATATAATATCTCATATTAGAAATTTTCATGTCTTATATATACATGTATAAGAAATCTTTAATACATGTAGAAGAAATCTTCATACAAATAAAATTATCACATCAAGAAACTTTCATATCCTTCACAGGAAACTTCATATCCTTCACAGGAAACTTTCATGTCTTGTACAAGAAATCTATACATCTTAGAATGTTTGTCATTCTAAAACTCAAGTGAGAAGTTTAAAACTTCTAGTACATGTACTTTAATTTAAACCTTTTCTTTCTCCCAGACTGGATCTGCATTGTCCACAGGAAGTATTACCTTTGCCCTCAAGGCTGTGCATAGAGAAAATGGAGTTAGAGGGTAGGTTTGTCGTATTGTTCTGGCTCCAGGACTCTAAAACTTAGATGAGCTCACTTTTGATCTCAGTCTTTTACACCATAGATTCCTTTTCTTAAAGTGCGCTTATCTCAGCTTAATGGCCTCAGAGTTGAAAGTACACTTTATTACATGTACATGTACCTCTATAAGAACTGTGAGGTAAAATGCTTTGTTTTTTTTTTTCTGTATAATTTATGAAGAACATAATCACAAAGCATTATCACAACAAAGATATTTTGGTAATCATTAGAGAGATATAAGTATATTTATTCTAACTTTAATTGACAAAATAGAATGATCAGGTAAATTAAAATGCTTGTATAAAATCTGCTGACCCCCATTAGTTATTTGAAATCTATGGCCTTATATTCTTTTATTATGTGATCCCTAAAGATTATATTCTATTCTGTAGACAACATTAGAAGATTTGCAGTTCAAATTTTCCCAAGTTTTGGTATAGAAGAATGAAAATCATTAATTATAGCTATCTTTTTTTTAATATTTTTATATGTTTAAAAGTTATTCTTCATTATTATGATTAATTCTTTAGATAAAATGTTGTTAGAAACATTTTACCAAATATTTAGTCAATTATCTATTCTTTTTGCATCCCTTTTCACTTATTTATTAACATGCCTATCGGGAAATCTCTAGAAGAAAGTTTAATAATCTCACTAAAAAGGGGGGGGGGGGGGGATTTGCTTCATACAGGTTGGTTGATGGATTTGAAATTTTGATTTGAGGTAGCAACTCAATTTTTTATACGCCCGTCTTTAGACGGGACGTATTATGTTATGGCGTTCATGTCCGTCCGTCTGTCCGTTTGTCCGTCTGTCTGTCTGTTAACTTTTCTCGTGTCCGGCTCATAACTTTAATACTATTAGGCCTAGGATTATCAAACTTTGTCAGCTGATACTTCTTGGGTAGAAGGTGTGTCGCGCATGAAATGTAGGTCGTTCTGACCTTTAATTAAGATGCTATGGCCAAATATGGAAAAATCCTGTCCGTCTCATAACTAGAAAACTATTAGACTTAGAATCATCAAACTTGGCCAGTTAATGCATCTTAGGTAGAAGGTGTGTCGCGACCTATTTCAAGGTCACTGTGACCTTTAATTTAAGTGAAATTTAAAAAAAAACTGTCTTTTTACTATTATATTACACAATTCCAAAAAATGTATAAGTGTTACAGTATCCTTATTAAAAAAATGTTAAAATCAAGAAAATACTTATTTTTTTCATTATATACTTTACAGCAATCTATAACAAATATAATGTTACAAGAGAAACTCCACCTCTCCCATGGGTGTAATTATCAAGCACTGGTCAAGGAGAATTTTGATAACAGAAAATTGCATGTCAAATAAGAGAGAAATTTATGAGTTTAGTGTGAGGAGCTAACTGGTAGAGCATCTCTGATCAAGCAGGTGTTATCTATATCTCTTGGGAATTGGGCAGAGGAATCAGCCATGTTGGATTACATAGTTTTTGTGGGCTAGCCTAACTTTTAAAATGAATTTGGTGAAAAGGAATTAAAACTAATTTGATATTGTATAATAAACTAATTTGATATCTTATATTAAACTAATTAATTAAAACTAATTATACTCGGAGGGGGGGGGGGTGATATTGGAATTAGCATGCCGGTTGTCCATATGAATTGCAGCTTAAAACCAGTCTGACATTGAGTCTAAAAAAAATCATGTATTTCAAAAAAAAGTTTTAATTATGGTATATAGTCCCTACAAATCTAAGAGTCAAGCAGAAACCTTATTAAAAATGTTGCATCAAGATTACAATTTTTTTTTTCTTTTTATAAATCTTTCTAACAAATTGAAAAAAAAAAATCTTTGTTTTCAAATTTAATTTCAGTATGACATAAACATTCATTTTAATTGCACTACAAAGCAGATAGCACAGATCCATTCATCCCTTGGGAGTAATGAGTGGACATGCATCCAGTTAAAGATTAATTAATGAGTTCAGTGTAGGAAGGCTAGCTGTCTCAATCATTTCTGATCAAGCAGTTCTTATCTGTATCCTTTGGGAATTAAACAGAAGAACTGCTGGTCACTTTATAGCATATTTCATTTGATGGCCAGTCTTTTATTTTAAAATTAATTTGGTATAGATTAAGTTGTTAAGACTAAATTCATGTTGTTTAATATGATATTTTTATTTAATTTTTTGAAAATATCAACTAACAAATTTCAGAGCATCATGTCTCACAAATATGAAAGATGTGTGTGTCTATGTGTGTGTGTGTGTGGGGGGGGGGGGGGGGGGGGGGCTGCAGATGGGCATTTGTCAAGCTCTAACACAACCAGTTGAGGATCTATAATGTAATATTTGTTATAATTCATGCCTACACCACAGGAAATGTATAAACAAATATTATAAGGAATGGAAAAATCATGGAAATCCGTGTATCAAGGTTGACTTGATTTTCTTGCACTCTAAACTGTTTGTGATAATTGAACAATATTTGACGGGCGTATCATGCTGTGGCGGGGCACTTTATTTCCTTCATGATCTTTCAGAGATGATTGATTAAATAATCTAAAAATAAGTTTCCTATTCTCCTTTGACACATTATTTTCTGGGGTGGTGCCCAGTTATTAGATAAGTTATGTTTCCTATTCTCCGTTGACAGGTTATTTGCGGGGGTGGTGCCCAGGATGCTGTGGATAACATTAGGTGGTGCCATTTTCCTTGGAGTGTATGACAAAGCCAAACTTGTTCTTTCCTCCATCCTGATAGAGCCGGGTTAAAAAACATTGTCATGTTTAGAATATTTACTTTTATTTTTAAAAAGTAGATTGGTATATATAGTAACTATGCTTCAGCCTTTAAGTGCAAAAATGCACTTTTCTTAAATTTAAGTGGTTAAGTTTTGCTAGAATAAACTTAAGGTATGTACATACAGTGTAACGCCTATTTACTGTAAATTAAAAACATGCCTCTTTGCAGTGCCAACAACATATATACAGGTCCATTCTTGGACTATAAACTGTAGATTTTAGTAATAAAAACAAATACATGTACATATATGATTAAGTTTTTTACTGCATGTTTAAAAAATCTGTATTTTTAAATTGGAAAATGTTTTGTCATGATCATATTCAAAATACAGAAAATTTGAAGTCCATTTTGTATTTTTTTGTTTTGTCAGTCACATCCCCAAATATGGAAACAAAACTTAGAAGCCTTGTTTTATAGACCAAATATTTATTTTGAAAACGAGGACAAATGAAGAGTATTTTTATGTTGATGAAGTTTTAAAGTCATTCTCTCTTCTCTCCCTGTCACTCTACACTCTCTACACAGTTGCAGAAGTCAGTTTATACTCTATGCTTCTCTCTCTCTCTCTCTCTCTCTGGTTCAACTGTCATCAAAATCATATCTGGTAGACACCCTGATTGGTTCTTCTGGCTGGACTGTAGCATAGAGTGAATTTTCAAAAGTGATTGGTATAAAGCCATTTGCCTCGTCTAAGTGAGCGACATCAGACTCGTTGTTATAGCGACGGCTTCCGTTTATCACATGCTTCTGTTGTCTGTAATATATCACAGAAGTAATGAACTAATAATGCTGAAAATATTTTGTTTAACATCAATAAAATATTTTCATTTTTTGTTTTTGCAAAGATAAGAAAGAAAAAAGGTTCAGGTTTATTAAAGCTATAGCAAGGATGCTGTAGATTCCTTATTTTACACGAGTACTAAATATAATGAGGTGACTTGTAGACATCCGAGAGATTATGGAGAGTGGGCTGTTGATAAAAAGTTTGAGCATGTATTTCAGCTATTTAAAAATAAAAGTGATTAATTTTATTTTGAAAGTGAAGCGTCTTACGAAATTATGCAATAATGGAATTCCTTGCATATATTTGTATTAAAGAATCTACAGTTCACATGCAGGATGTGTTAAAAATGTTTTGCAGTCAATGTACAGTATAGATTATCTGTTATTCACTTCGGTCAAAGACTGGTGATATTAAAAGTCTTATCCACAGTAATTTACTTAACTTGTAAATAAGAATCATCAAAAATTGAACAAAACAATGAAATATACTAGTCTTGATTATTGCTAAGGAAAAAAGGGAGATATGAGAAAGAGCATAGACCGTCTGGTGGGGGTACTTACTTTCTCTTCTTTAGAGCGAATAATAGAATAGAGAGAATCAATATGGCGGACACCACAGCTATGACTACCACATACCAGTTCAGGGACAACCAGTTCTGCAAAGAATTACTCTATATATATGTGTATAATAATTCTAAGTTAAATCTTATAGGAGTTTTGAGATGAAAAAGTGCATTCAATTCACACACACTGAAATGAAACATACATTTTCAGTCAAATATCCATCCGAGAAGTACAGTACTAGTATTCTCCGATCCCCAATGATCCCTTTGGGCTCGGAGAATATTGTACTTCCCAGATGACTAATTCATCCTATTGATTGAAAGAAAGCAATAACTGCATGCTTCACTATATTATTTAATTATCTGAGGTAACTGTGCAAACCTTGTCATCTGTCTTGATTGTTTACATTTGTTGAAGTTCTAACCGAATGCAATGAATGAATCAAGATAAACATAACCAGTTGTAATAATTTGAAGTTTCTTCACCTATGTTTGGTGTAATATGGAAAGAAAAATGATACGTTCACCTGAAAGTCGGGTGCAGATGAAATATTTTTTTCAAAATCAATTGTATTAATTAAAAAGTTCACAATCTACTTTTAGACAAACGAAGAAAAAATGAATATTTATGTTTACCAGTAAAGTCACGTGCATGCAAATACAACTGAATATTTTTTTTAGAATGTTGAATATCAGCTAACTAAAGAGATCAGAATTATTCAATCACATATAATAAATTTTGGTATTATACTTTTTAGATCTTGTTATAAATCTGCTATACAGTGTATTTAAAATTCTGAGTCACAAGTGCTATAGTGGAGAATATTTTTATTAGTCTTTAAACTGCCACAACTCGAAACTATAAAATCCATAAAAAAGATGTCGACAGAGATGTATTGTACCTGGAATGTAATGGACCCTCTTTGTTTTCCTATGTTTTAACACTTGGTTCTGTATCTGACAATCTGCATGCTCAGTCAATCCATGATTATGTTCATTGTCTGGCCAGTAGGTATCGTATCTGATTCTCTTTGTAATGTATGACCTGATTAATGACTTATTCACCTGAGTATTTTTGTGATGAAGGAGCTGGTTACTCTGTCATTACCTGATTGCCTTGGTTTATATGACAAGGTTACCTAGATATTTACCAGATTGACTTTGCTTTATATGACCTGTTTACTTATATATTTTACCCGATTGCCTTTACTGAATATTATCTGGCTTCTCAGATATTTATCTGACTGCCTTTGCCTAATATGAGCTTGTTACTCAGTTCTTTGCATGATTGCCTTTTCTCTCTATGACCTGACTACTCAATTATTTACCTTATTACTGTTGCTATGTATGATCTGTTCACTTAGTTCGTTACCTGAGAATCTTTACTATGTATGATCTGTTCACTCAGTGGTTGACTCCCAGATACCAGGGAATCCTTCATCTCTGTTAACATTGGTTGTAGCTCCCCCAAACACACAGCTCGGCTTTTTATGAAAACTCTCGCCGTTATCAGTTTATCTGATGTACTGTCAAGCAAACAAAAACGTTAATATTTTAATTGTTTTAAGAGATTTTTCAATTTCAAAGATCGTTTTTTCGTTTAGCAAAATGTTCTGTGAAAGAGAGAAACAAAAGTTCAATATTAGACCTTAAATCATTTTCTATACTTACTTATTTTCTCTACCTTCAATTGTGTTGTTCACCATTATGTAAATGTCAGACTGCTGTACATTATATTTTTCCGATAATATTTTCTTAAAATTCTTCATAAAATTTGCCTGGTCAACTTTGTTTCCGTCCACTTTTACTGTAACATAATTCAATGTACTTATTAACACTGGCCTTAGTATTTCCATCCTTGTTCTAGCAAGGAATAGTCAAATGCGCTTTCGTGTAACCATTTACCTGTTATGCCACTGCAATCTGGTGTAATTTGTAATGAACACGTTGGTCCAACCCAGCCGTCCTTACACTGACACGTGTAAGCCCCTCCCTTAGAGATGCTGCACGTGGCATTGTTCTGGCAGGGATTGCTATAGCAATCATTTTTATCGTCACACAAGGTACCTGAAACACAACGCATGGCTGGATCATCAACTTTTTCTGTACAGGTGCCAATGTTGTAAAATGAATTTATGTCTGTCAACATTTAGAGAACATCAAATTACAAGGAAATTTAAAAAAAGTCATAAATAAACAATCGTTTACAATTATTATCGTATGCAATGGTGCACGTGCAAACATGATGGTTATGTATAATTTATAAATAGGTAAAACATGCAAGGATAACAAAATGCTGAAAGAGACCAGTGAGACACACAAAAGTGAAAAATATTTACGCCCAGATGAGTTCTTCTTACAGTTAGTGTCAACATGACAGCATAGAACCTTAAGCATCAGAGTAGAACACAGCATAGAAACTAAAGCATCAGAATAGAACACAGCAAGTATCAGAGTAAAACACAGCATAGAAATAATGCATCAGAGTAGAACACAGCATAGAAACTAAAGCATCAGAATAGAACGGAGCATAGAACCTTAAGTATCAGAGTAGAACACAGCATAGAACCTTAAACATCAGAATAGAACACAGCATAGAAACTAAAGTATCAGAGTAGAAAACAGCATAGAAACTAAAGCAGCAGAGTAGAACACAGCATAGAAACTAAAGCATCAGGGTAGAACACAGCATAGAACATTAAGTATCAGAGTAAACACAGCATAGAACCTAAAGCATCAGAATAGAACACAGCATAGAACCTTAAGCATCAGAGTAGAACACAGCATAGAACCTTAAGTATCAGAGTAGAACACAGCATAGAAACTAAAGCATCAGAGTAGAACACAGCATAGAACCTTAAGTATCAGAGTAAAACACAGCATAGAAACTAAAGCATCAGAGTAGAACACAGCATAGAAACTAAAGCATCAGAGTAGAACACAGCATAGAACCTTAAGTATCAGAGTAGAACACAGCATAGAAACTAAAGCATCAGAGTAGAACACGGCATAGAACATTAAGTATCAGAGTAGAACACAGCATAGAACCTAAAGCATCAGAATAGAACACAGCATAGAACCTAAAGCATCAGAGTAGAACACAGCATAGAACCTTTAGCATCAGAGTAGAACACAACATAGAAACTAAAGCATCAGAGTAGAACACAGCATAGAACATTAAGTATCAGAGTAGAACACAGCATAGAAACTAAAGCATCAGAGTAGAACACGGCATCGAACCGTAAGCATCAGAGTAGAACACAGCATCGAACCTTTAGCATCAGAGTAGAACACAGCATAGAACCTTAAGCATCAGAGTAGAACACAGCATAGAAACTAAAGCATCAGAGTAGAACACAGCAGAGAAACTAAAGCATCAGGGTAAAACACAGCATAGAACATTAAGTATCAGAGTAAACACAGCATAGAACCTAAAGCATCAGAATAGAACACAGCATAGAACCTTAAGCATCAGAGTAGAACACAGCATAGAACCTTAAGTATCAGAGTAGAACACAGCATAGAAACTAAAGCATCAGAGTAGAACACAGCATAGAACCTTAAGTATCAGAGTAAAACACAGCATAGAAACTAAAGTATCAGAGTAGAACACAGCATAGAAACTAAAGCATCAGAGTAGAACACAGCATAGAACCTATAGCATCAGAGTAGAACACAGCATAGAAACTAAAGTATCAGAGTAGAACACGGCATAGATCCTTAAGTATCAGAGTAGAACACAGCATAGAACCTAAAGCATCAGAATAGAACACAGCATAGAACCTAAAGCATCAGAATAGAACACAGCATAAAACCTTTAGCATCAGAGTAGAACACAACATAGAAACTAAAGCATCAGAGTAGAACACGGCATCGAACCGTAAGCATCAGAGTAGAACACAGCATCGAACCTTTAGCATCAGAGTAGAACACAGCATAGAAACTAAAGCATCAGAATAGAACACAGCATAGAACCTAAAGCATCAGAATATAACACAGCATAGAACCTAAAGCATCAGGGTAGAACACAGCATAGAACCTTAAGCATCAGAGTAGAACACAGCATAGAAACTAAAGCAACAGAGTTGAACACAGCATAGAAACTAAAGCATCAGAATTGAACACAGCATAGAAACAAAAGCATCAGAATAGAACACAGCATAGAACCTAAAGCATCAGAGTAGAACACAGCATAGAACCTTAAGCATCAGAGTAGAACACAGCATAGAAACAAAAGGAACAGAGTACAACACAGCATAGAAACTAAAGCATCAGAATAGGCACAGCATAGAACCTTAAGCATCAGAGTAGAACACAGCATAGAAACTAAAACATCAGAATAGAGCATAGAACCTTAAACATCAGAGTAGAACACAGAATAGAACCTTAAACATCAGAGTAGAACACAGCATAGAACCTTAAGCATCAGAGTAGAACACAGCATAGAACCTTAAGCATCAGAGTACAACACAGCATAGAAACTAAAGGAACAGAGTACAACACAGCATAGAAACTAAAGCATCAGAATAGAACACAGCATAGAACCTTAAGCATCAGAGTAGAACACAGCATAGAAACTAAAGCATCAGAGTAGAACACAGCATAGAACCTTAAGCATCAGAGTAGAACACAACATAGAACCTTAAGCATCAAAGTAGAACACAGCATAAAACCTTAAGTATCAGAGTAGAACACAGCATAGAAACTAAAGCAACAGAGTGAACATAGCATAGAACCTACACATTAGGGTGGAACACAGCATTGATCCTAAAGCATCAGGGAGGAATAGAAGAAATCAGTCAACTAAAGGTAAGATTATCAGAGGATAGAGAAGTGTTTATTTCATTGTTCACCTTCCACAATCAAAGACTAAATGCCACGAAGATTATTGTAAAGATAATAGCCGATTTATCCAAGAGTGAAATGTGAAAGAAATTTGTGACATAGTGATCAGGTAGCATGTGAACAGGAAGCTGATCTTTTTACCTGATCGATTTAATTCACATTGACATCGGAAGGATCCAAATTCATTGACACAGGTGGAGTTTCCTTGGCAGAGATTTCCCTGACATTCATCCACATCTACATCACACAACTCTCCTTGAAGTCCTTCCGGGCACAAGCAAGAGAACGATCCTGGAAAGTTTTCACAATGACCTTGTTTTCCACATGGAGATTCTGCGCACTCGTCGATATCATCACAGAATTCCCCTTGGTAGCCAGTAGGACATTTGCAAGTGAACCCGGTAATGGCATTCTGACATTCCGCATCCTGAAAACAGGGATTGGGGTTACAATTGTCAATTTCGCCTTCGCAGTAAATCCCTGTATAGCCCTGAGGACAGAAACATGTGTATTCCCCAATCCCATCAAGACAGGTACCTCCGTTATGACAGGGATCTGAGGAACATTCATTTACCTCGACCTCACAGTTCCCTCCGGCAAAAGCAGGTATACACTGACAAATATACCTCCCTTCTCCATCTATACATGTCCCGTTATTGTAACAAGGATCGGAAGAGCATTCATCAATATCTAACTCACAATGTACTCCGGTGAAGCCTAACGCGCATGTGCATTGGTAACCGTCCAAGGCATCAATACAGGTAGCTCTATTCAGACATGGACTAGAGGAACATTCATTGACGTTTTTCTCGCAATGTGTTCCAGTCGTTCCACGTGGACAGATACATTGATATCCGTTCACAGTGTCAACACATGTGGAAAGATTCTGACATGGGTTAGACCCACATTCATCAATATCAATATCACACATCTTTCCGGTGAACCCCTTTGCGCAAATACAACTAAAGGATGCAAGTCCATCCATACATGTAGCGCTTGAAGCGCAGGGTGAAGGAGCACAATCGTCGGTATTAATGTTGCAGTTATCACCCTCCATTCCTGGAGGACAGACACAACTGTATTTACCTACCTCATCCACACAGGTAGCGGATCCAAAGCATGGATTTGATTCACACTCATTTTCATCAACCTCGCATACATTCCCATGAACGCCCTGCGGACATAGACACTCAAAAGACCCAAATGTGTCGATACATGTCGACTGATGTTGGCAAGGACTGGAAATGCATTCGTCAATGTTATTCTCACAACGTTTACCAGAAAACCCAGACTGACATGTACAATGGAAATCATTTACTCTGTCGCTACAAGTGGAATTATGTAAGCAAGGATTGGGATTGCATTCATTTATATCTTGTTTACATATATTCCCAGAATAACCTGGTGGACAAACACAAGAGAAACTGCCATTACTATTCACACAGGTGGCGGATCCAAAGCAGGGAAAGGACATACATTCATCTACATCAACATCACATAAAGCACCCATCCATCCCTCGGAACAATTACAATAGAAATGTCCATCTAAATTGGTGCATTTTCCATTCATACACGGATTTTCGTCACATTCATTTACATCGACCTCACATATTTCCCCAGTCCATGCTACAGGACATGCGCAGTAAAAGCTTCCAACTGTATTAACACACGTACCCCCGTTTCTACATGAAAAGTCGAGACATTCATTAACATCAGAATCACAAAGTCTGCCACTTATACCTCGAGGACACATGCACTGGAAGCTGTCTATATCATCTACACATGTTGCATTCCCATGGCATGGACTGCTTCTACATTCATTAATATTTACATCACATTGCTTACCTGCCCAACCCCCTTTGCATTGACATTCAAATCCGCCAATGAGATCTCTACACGTAGCATTATTTTTACATGGATTTAACAGACAATCATTTATATTTTCCAAACACGTCCTTCCAGAAAATCCATTCAAACACGCGCAATGAAATCCATTTATAAGGTCTGTGCAAGTTGCATTATTTTGACAAGGGGAGGACTGACATTCATCTAAGTCAATCTCACATCGTGTGCCTAAAATAAACAACACCACATGCAAACAACGCAAAACAAAATATAAAAAAATTCACACCAATGAATCATTCCTTCAAAAATGAACGATAAAACGACAATACTTATATAAGATGAATTTACAATATTATGATATTAATCGTGCAAAAAAAAAATATTCAAAGGTTGTCACACTGTTATCTCTTTAAAAACGTTCTGTGTAATTGAAAATTAATAAATATATATCCTTTTATTTCAGATGAAAACTCGAATAATTTTAATACCATACTTAAAAACCTCCAATCATGAGTAGAAAAATACTTGTATTCTAATTGTTAGACCATTATTTACACACTGATTTGTCGACGGAATTCCTGTTATTTCCCGATCATGACAAGGAGCACACGGCGGGTGTGACCGGTCGGCAGGGGATGCTCACTCTTCCATGGCACCTGATCCCACCTCTGATGTCTTAGAAGTCCGTGTTTGCTCTGCTCCTATTTTGTAATGTTTAATGGACTTTTGAGCTCGAATACTGTTCGTTATCTCCACATATTTCATTGTATATAAATTTCCTACTAAATAACCCATTGCAATGGGCATTTGGCTTATGATAAAAAAAAAAAAATACTTAACCTGGTTAACTTCTTAACTTAACTCTGCCAAATTTTAATAATCAAATTAAAATCCGCAAATTGAAATCTGAATACTGTCAAGGTATTGTAGCTCACCAGATTTTCGCAACACCTTTTATTTCGCGAGAAACGTATTTTGTATATATAAGTAAGACATTTTTTTTAGGAATTCCGGTTATTATATACATATTTTTTTCTAATAAGTGGATTTTTCAAGAACAGACGGTCTCGCTTAATTACGCGTAAAAAAAGATCTGCGCGAAAAAAAGAAATCATCAGTACTTATTTTAGTTGTTCTTTATTTCAGCGCCTTTTGCCCTAAATCTCCGCTCTATTAAGGACACGATAATATTTACTTTAAACAGGTATATATATAGAGGGTAGGCTCTAAATGAGCTAGTTTTTGATTATGCTAATAATTTTATGATTAAATTGCTTATTTTTTGGTGCGCTTTATAAATGTATGTACGTTTACAGTAACAATAAGGATGAAAAGGACAAAATACATATTAAAGGCAAAATGGGACACAAATTTCTACGAAGGAGGTTTCAGTCACAAATTTTGAGATGTATGAAGCATTTTTATAAATAAATATGTCACCTCAGAGTTTCTTGTATTGCTTTTAATTCTGCGTCACAACATGAAAACGAAAATTCCATAAAATAATAAAATTCAGTGAATCTTACTTAGATTACATAATTATATATTTACCATTGAATCCGTCTGCGCAGACACAAAGAAAGCCTCCGTGTGAGTTGACACAAGTGGCGCTATTTAGACAGGGCGAACTCTGACAGTTGTCAATCTGGACATGACATAATGTCCCTTGCCAACCTGTAACAAAGATTTATTTTCACATTTTTATATTTGTTAAGTATTTGCCGATATCCACATCCTATGATACATGATTACATATGTTTACCGATATCCACCTATTTACCTTTGAAACATATTGTCGTTCACTGATTTTTATTTGTATATATATTTTACCCTTTAAACATATTTCAGATGTACACTTTCCATATAACATAATACCTAATTTACCTTTAAAACATAAGAACAAATATCCACTCTTTATGTTACATAACACTTAACTTACCTTTTAAACACATGTATAATTATATCTACTTCGTATGTAACATACCTTATTTGCATTTTACCTTTCAAACATACTTTAGATCCTGTATTAGGATCACAGGTATAGTGGCCTAAGTGATCGTCACGTGACTGACAAAAGGTGGCACAATTTACCCCATAATAATCCTTGTCACAGTAAACCCTCAATCTTAACCATAATCTGCAATTTAAAACATTTTTTAAATAAGATTTAAATAAAGATGGAGTGTTTTTGTTTTATATTAAAGAGTGTTTGGAAATGGTCCTGCGCCATGATAACCATGTCTTGATTAAGATTCACAAAGTTTAAGGATACATAACACAAACAAAAATTTGATGCATGGATTGATATACATTTTTTGACTGATATTGAATAGAAATGACATACAAATGTAAATAATAAATACCTAAAATATAAAGAAATTGTAAGTTTTCTTTGGTGCTTAGATATGCGACTTTGTGTCGTATTCTATGCAATTCTATACAAAAATTTGCACATATTTCTAACATAATGACAAAATTTTTCAAAATTCTCCTACTTTACTGGCAAATATTATCCAGGTAACCTATTCGAAGATAAATCTTTGAGAAATAATTGCTGATTTCTGAAGAAAAGTTTGTGTTATTTATCCTTAAGTTGAAAGTAAACACAAAAATTTCTTATTCAAAATATTGCGCTTCGTTGACAATTATTTTTTGTCTCCTTTGCACTGAATGAATTAGATGTACTGGGAGCACTGAGCTCACTAAATGATAGCCCCCGCCTCCCATATGATTATAATGGGAAAGTCCATGTTTTGCCCTGGGAGACCCGAAATAAGTGTCAGATCAAAAAGTAAAATAGGAGGTGAAAAATGGCACAATGTAACAAATATTCTGTGAAAGTCTCATTAAATTTCATTCAGTGGTATAAGAGGTGTTGCGGATAAGAGATATAGGTACCCCAAAGCGTAACAGACGGACGGACGAACGTACAGACGAACGGACACCCCGATCACTACATACCCTCCCACTTTTCAAGTGGGGGGTATAACAATATTAACTACTTTTTTTCAGAGTACGAGGCTAAAAACTTCGTTTAAAAACGAAGTTTTAAACTAAACTTTTAACCATAGAATTCGATTTTGGGATCAAAAAGGCTTAAAACCCCATATACTTTCTTATTTTTTTTTTTTTATTTTTTCGATCGCTCACGCAATCTCATATATATTGAAGTCGCCTACGGCGACACTAAATTTAGTACGTTTTTCAGGAGACCGGTAAAGTGAAGTCGATCCAAAGTAAAAGAAACAAAAAATAATTGCATCTACTCAACAACGTATTTCATTAATTAAATATTTGCACAAGACCTGTAGTCTCGTTCAACCAGACGCTCGACTGTCTCCGTAAAGATTTCGACGTCATGTGACGTCATAGTCTAGACTGCGTCTCGTGCGGTTTGAAGTTTGAAGAGGCGAATCAACGTTACAAGTGTAAGCTGTGTATAGGCAACTGCGCTCGCCCCAACGGTCACACCGTAAAACATACTAGAAGCTTACGTTGTCCGTGAGCTGAGTGTGTAGGGTACCAAAGAAGCGGAAGTTGCGTTGAAACCTGGAATAGTTTTATATGTAGCAGCCAGGAAGTCAACATAATCATCGCCGTTGTCGTCACTATCCCATACTTCCACCTTAATCTTAAGGCTACCCTACATGCAAATGAACTTTTTATTTAAGATTTATGAACTTTTTAAAATTCATACCATAAAATACTTAATATAATTATGCAAATTTTGAAACTTTTGAATCTCACCGGCCACAAAGCGAAGGGAAATAGCATCGGATTCGCCACGCCACCTACATTACCACCAAAGTAGTTGTTGTTACTGTTTGAAACTTCGCCTGTTGATTTTCGTCCGAACGGGCACCTGTATACATTGTTGGGCCTAGAAAATAAACAATGTGAACGATATTTTCAGTTATATTATTTCAAGGAATAGAGGTGTGTTGACTGACTGCAGGTCAAGAACTGGAACTCTTTGATATACGGCAAACAGTATCTTGCATGCTTGTTAGTCCACAAGTTTTCATCGTAAAAAAAAACGGGAAAAAATTTCCATCATCTATAAAAAAAACTTGTAGTAGAGGGTGGAAATTTTAGGCATTTTCTTTTATGATAAAAACTTCAGACTCCTGTGGTCAGTCAGACCATGGACATATATAGTTATTTCATTTGAGTGAGAGGAGACACTTGAGAATACAATATTTTATGTCGTTTTTTCAGTGGACACACTGTTTTTTTTTTCTCACCCATTGTACTGGTCCAGACAGATCGTAAACCTGTGATCACAGTCACTTCCGCTGAAGAAAAACTTTCCGTCACACGGGTGGCCATTTCTTCCCCGACCCCCGGGGTTGTAGTAACGCACCATAGTAAGAGAGATGTGTCCAGAACCCTCACATATCTATTGTAAAAATACAAAGTATTGAAAAAAATCCCTTATCTTTGCTGATCTAGAAATACACTGTGAAATCAGTAATTTTCGTGGGGGTAATTTTCGTTGTTTTCGAAGTATGTAGAGACGAACGAATCTATTGACCACCACGAAATGTAAAATTTCATATGCATTACTACTCAACATTCTCCATCCACGAAATCAAATCCCCACAAACCAATATTCTTTCATCAAATCTCGAAAATTTGACCCCACAAAAATATGTGATTTTACAGTGTAGTACAATTTATGAAATTGTGTAGACATTGGAAATGCTAACTTTTACAGTGTTTAAAAGTGTTTATAAATAAGTGATTGCATAGCATTCATTGAGTAGATGGGTTTTAATATTTAAGTAAATACTGGGATGAGATTTAGGATAGTCGATGTCCGTATCTTAGATTTAGAGCTACATGCAATGAACACCATGCAGCTAATTTAATTCCCAATGAAAAGATTATACAAGACAAAAGATGGAACCGCTTCCTTTGTAATGATTTCTTATTAAATTTATTAAGAGTGTTTCCTAGGAAACAATCCTAAATTAGCTGCACTTTATTTTCATTTGTCTGCTTTACTTAATAGAGAAGATTTTAAATAACTTCACCAAAAAGGGAAACATTGTTATAAATTAGTATATATAGATTAGCATTTAATTCATGCTAATGTAAATAAGCTCTTTTAAGATTGATATTTGTTTACACACACATTAAGGGCTTCATTCTTTGTGTGGTCACTAAGTGGTCACGAGTGTCCACTGGGATAGGGGGAGGACCACTTCCTATGTACATGTTTACACGTAATGTTGCTTGCATCTCTATGACTCAGAGCCAGTTTTTAATGTATTCACTGATACCTTAGTCTAATGGATTTTTTTTCTTGTTTTTTTTTTGTTAATACGAAATTATAAGTGGTATTGATATGGCAAACACAGTCGAAATTTTGTATAGCTTGAATTTAAGATAGCTAGAGGTTACCTATGACGTGTAGAATCCACATATAATTGTAATTGTTTGACCATCTACAGTTCAATAACCTTATTACTATTAATTCTTTTTTAAAATTATGATGTTTGATTTGTGTAGCTTAATGAATTCTATTTTACGTTGTTACATTCAAGTGGTTGTGTTGATATCGGGGGATTAAGCCGTTAATCCGGAAACTGACGAGATACATCTGTAATTAGTCTCCTTCGCCTACTTTTGTAGTAAATTGTACAAATACTACGCATTACATATAAAAAGCTGTTCCGATTCCAAAATCAACAACGTAGAAAAGAAGCCATTAATTATTATTGAGTATTTCTTTTAGCCAGAGAGAGAGAGAGAGAGAGAGAGAGGGGGGGGGATCCGTAATGCGTTTAAAATTACTTGGAATGAAGACCAGCCAAAAATATTTCAAAAGCTAAGATTTTAAAGACACAATGGATAATCAAAATATAAGAATTAACAAATAGGTTTATTACTGACATCAAACACTGAATGCCAGTCAAAGAGGAGAAAATTATCTAATTTGCACTTGTCATAAATGATACATGACACATATTCATATGTATTTTTACAATCAGGTTATAGATGTATGTATTTGGATTGACATTTGAATTCTGCACTTGATGACGTACTATTTCTCAGGACATATCAGTGATCTGAGTGTTTACCTCTCAGATCTTCACTGGAGAGAGTCATTAGATTATAAAAGAGGGTCCAAGTGGAAAAAGGCTTCAAAAACTCCATGTTACAATTGTTTGACCTGTTTTTAGTTAACGATTATTTACTTTGAAACATGTACTGTAACTCTTTAACGATTGCTTTATTTTTTCGTTTAAAAAAATTATAAGATATGAATTAGCGTGTCTTAAATATTTTTTTTTCACAGAATCCATATTTACAAGAAACTTGGGAAGATTAATTTAAGTACACATATCGTCTGTAAATTTTTTTGCTGGTACGTCTTATCATGCAGCCTGAGATCCACGTATATATATAAACATTTCAGCATCTATAAGTGGCCATGTCAGCCTCGAATTTAAATTGTAGATTGCTTATGTTTAAGAAAAGCAAGAACTTGTGTGACACTCTTTTGTACTTCATCACTCAAAGATACCATGTAGAATATAGATGCTTATTCCAAAAAGCGTGTGCGTGCACGTCTTTGTCTATTATATTGTATAGTTGACGTTGGCTCCATTACGCGTAACAGTTTTTTGTGTTTTAATCTAGCTGTAATATGTCGCATCAGTACAGAGATGCCTCCCTGTAGAATTTCGCACTAAAAATCTGGCTACACTCGCTGTTTCTATATATTGATTGATTCCTGTCAGCTATGTTAATATTGAGACAATGTGTGTCATTTTTTTGTGTCATACACTTTTAATAAATTCTTTCTGTAAATTGCATTTTTTTAGGAGGGGGAATGAAACACAAGCAAAAAGACATGGTCAATTTAAAAATAATAGGAGAGCTAGATTCCGAAACGTAATAACGCTGACAGCATGTTTTTATTATTGCGGTGATTATTATGATAATTTTAGCAGCCAGAGGAAGATGGAGGATCATGCAGAACTACAGGGGCTGATTCTGAAATTCCGAGCTAACCACCACATCTAGCAGGGGGAGACACATATAGCACTGAGTAGTCGCAACATTATGTTTTCATTGAGAATCTCTTAGACTATGCATAAGTGATGATAACTTACCGCAAATAGGGTCACAAAGAAGAACAGACGACACTCCATCATCAGCATATCAGCTCAGAATGAGTACCCCTCTCCCTCCGTCAATATTTACATCTGTGTAAGAGTCTGATAAGTGCTGCTGTTTCCTGTGTTGGAGTCAATGGTCGCGCGATTTAGCGAGCATTGATGTCGACACCAATCGCGTGAGCTCATTGAAATTTTGTGTCGTGGTCTGATTTCTTAGATCATAATTAGTTACTCAATATAAACGCCACTGTAATGCGGAAGGATTTTCCTTCTAATTATATTTTTGACAATATAATAGTAAAAAATCAATCTTAATTGGTTATTTTAGTTTACATGTACATACAGCCTTAGACATGCATGATGGGGATCATACGACATTTGTATTGAAGTGAGCTAAATTGATTGTCAGACATACAGAGGTCAGCAAAATGCTTTTAGAGACAGCACTGTCACATTTTTCGTGATGTCTGTAAATGCCATAATATGCATACTGACAGATTAAATGGCTCCGTATTGTTTAAAAACACAGTAATTTGATTAGTTTCTGCAAAGATTTGCTTTAGATTTTGCATATTAATTCAATTTAAATGTGATGTTAAATTTGACAGCAATCCTGGCTAGTATCATACAAAAAATTTGCAATGTAATGTATACCATTACAATTCCTGTATTGTGAACATTCAATTCTTTATCATAGAGTACTTTATTTTTATTATCTGGTTTATCATATAATACATCATGTATATATATCTATGGAGCTCCAGATCAATATCAACTAAAAATATTTTACAATTATTGCAGATTTTGAGGTCAATACGATGATTTCACCACCTGAGGAGTACGATATTCACCGAACCAGAAGGGCGAGGTGAATATCGTACTTCGAGGGCGACTAAATCAGGGTACTGACTGAAAAAACAGCAATTGTTAGCGCCTTTCCGAACTGGTGTGCTTAATTAATAGACGTACATGTAAGAGCCGTTTGTGACGTTGAAAGTTAAATATGTGATGGAATTATTGCTAAAAATAAATTAAGAGCTCTGTTAAAATGATTTGTTGATCTCCTTAATATTCGATAATCATCAATTGACCGCTGACCAGCAACAAAAACTGAAGGTACTAAAATTTGTTTCACTGTATCTTGATATCAAATAATCATCCTTCATTTCATCCATTTGCCTTCTTAATAGCTATTTTGAATGATCATCAATGTTTGTGGATTTCATGGATCACCAGGTACCCTTACCCCCCCCCCCCCCCCCCCCAAATAGTAACATTGTCACATACAGAATCCTCGGTAGTTTAAAGTTACCAACGAAATTGTTTTCCATCGAACCAGGAAAATTTTGATTGCCCACGAACAAGCAATGTTGCTACTATTTTATTTTATCCAAAGATCTAATGAATATGGCTAACACCAAATAATTTCAAATCATATCCAGTATCCTTTTCAGAGTTTGTCAAATTAAAAAAAAAAATACAACAAAAAACAATCATGAAATGCATTTCAGGGTTCTTTGTTTAAAATTTATGCAAGCCTATTAGTCCCCTACCGAGGAAACCGGTTCCTCTGCGTCTGTTCGTCTGTCTAGCTGTCTGTCTGTCTGTCCGTCTAGCTGTACCTCTGTCTGTCTGTCAGTCTGCCCCAATTGGTTTTCCGCACTTTTTCCCCAGTAAACGCTTGCAGATACTGGGCTGTTTTTAGGTATGTGAGTGTATCTTGATGAGTTACAGATCAAATTTGCATTTCGTTCCGCTTCATTGATTTTTAACGGAGTTACGACCTTTTCAATTTTTAAGGGTTTTTCGCATTTTTTTTCCTAAACAATTGCAGATATTGAGCTGATTTTTGGCATTTGACTTTAACTTGATTAGTTATAGATCAAGTTTACATTTCTTTTCGCTTCAATGATTTTTGACGGAATTATGGCATTTTCAATTTTTAACGGGTACCCTATTACACTTGACGATAGGGGACTAGTATTGCTAATGCAATACTCTCAGAATGCCTGTTGGATAAGTAATGAAAATACTTGCAATTTCTCCGAAACAGTATGATTTTTTATGCCCCCGTATCGAAGATTGGGGGGTATATAGTTTTTGACCTGTCCGTCCGTCTGTCTGTCTGTTTGTCAGCAAAAACTTTAACCTTGACCATAGCTTTTGATTGGTTGGAGCTATGACTTTCATATTTCACATGTGTACTCCTTTTGAGAAGACCTTTCTTTGGGTACCATCATATTTGACTTTGACCTTTGAGTTTGACCCACTTTTGCAAAATTTTATGAGACTTTAACCTTGGCCATAACTTCTGAACAGTTGGTGCTTTGGGTTTCAAACTTTACATGTGTATTCCTTGTGAGAAGACCTTCTTTTGGACGCCATCATATTTGACCTTTTGACCTTGCAGTTAAACCTACTTTTGAAAAACTTTAACCTTGGCCATAACTTTTGAACACTTGATGCTTGGGATTTCAAACTTCACATATGTACCTTGTAAAAAGACCTTCCCTTGTATACAAACCACTTTGAGCCTTTGACCTTGTCCTAGGAGTTTGACCTACTTTCGAAAAATTTTAACCTTAGCCATAACTTTTGAATGGTTAGTGCTAGGGCTTTCATACTTCACATATATAATCCTTGTGACAATACCAACAACGTTGACCCTTTGACCTTTGAGTTTGACCTACTTTTGGAAATCTTTAATCTTTGCCATACCTTTTAACATTTGGTGCCACGGCTTTCATACTTCACATGTGCATTCCTTGGGACAAGACTTTCCTTTTGGATACCAACAATTTTGGCGTTGACCTTAACCTTGGAGTTTGACCTACTTTAAAAAAAAACTTCGCCATAATAAGCAGCCATACGGGGACATCAGTGATTCACAAACACATCTTGTTTTTGGCAATTCTTTATAAAAAGATGAGCCCTATATTTAAGGAACCTCAACAAACTGGAAAATGAATAGTTCAAACTCCGTGATACTCTAATTCTATGCAGTTTAATTGATTTGTCCTTTGATTAAAATTTGAATAAACTGAAATCGTGTGCCTAGTGTGTATTCAATTCAAGTATTCTTAACATTGAATTAGACCACGATAAAGTAATTGAATATTTATTTGCGAGTATTATCCCCCATTTAGGTATATAAGCAACATTTATTTCTTTTCATTAATACTTTGTTGTCTTTAAACATTTTTCCTACGCATCCTACGTTGAAATTGAAAAAAAATCATTTTAAATACAATTTCTTTTCAAAGTAACAAGAAAAAATGGTTGAAAAAAGTCCTTAAGTAGTGTTCCGGCTTAAGCTATTTCAGTACTATTTTAGCGATCTCAACATGCTTAGATTGCTATGATTGTACGCCGACAACAATTGACATTCTTCATGGATTTTCCTATATTTGTAGCGTTTTCTTCCCTGCCATACTAAACTTTTGCATCCTATTCTCTTCAGACAGTTCATAGTTGCAATATTATTGCTTAATCAGCAAGACTTTAAATTAACTGTATGACTTAGACGTAGACGTTTGAATTATCATGAAGTCTACCTTAAGGCAAAATTTATGAAAATTAATAGATATGCTCTTCTGCGAAAATATTGATAGAAGCAGACTGATGCACAAAGACCTTTATTGCCTCTTGGAATGGCTTAAATTACTTTATGATAAGATTAGTTTGCAGATATGTTGTACTGCAATATTAATTAAGCATATGTGCTGAGCAATCAATAAGTAAGTATTGCAATGACAGGTCCATTACAAAGAACTCCCACTTACAATGAAAACCTGACACATCCACGCTACTTCCTTGTTTATTTTTGGAGAGAATAATAAAATAAGAAGAGTCTCAGTCTTAAGGAATTCCCAGTTATAAGGAATTTAAAAAATTACAGTTTTCAAATCAAATTATTATGCAATACATGCACAACTTCAAAACCTCTGGATCCCCCTCCCTTTCCGTGTCCCCAGATGGATCATCTCCTGCTTTGTGAGAATCAAAATTAAGAGTGTGTCTTAAAATGTTTATTAACACTCGCTGCGTGATAGAAAGGTCGTGTGTTCGAATCACAACCGCGACTGACCGATAAAAAATAGGTAGCAACTGTTCCTTCGCAAAGCGCTCGGTACTTGGAAGTGAAAGTTGCGAGTCCTTCGGATTAGACCTTAAAAACCGAGGCCCCTTGTCACCGTAGGGGGTGGCACGGTAAAAAAAACCTCACTGCTCAATGGCCCTAAGTGCCGAGTAAAGGTCTAAATTTGAAGCCCTTCTCCGATATATGGTGACCGCTCTATATGAGTGAAAAATTCTCGAATGGGACTTAAATCAACATACAATCAATCAGTCATTAAAATGTTAATTAATCACTTCTACACAAATTAAGAATTTATACATATGTACTCTCTTATTATCAAAATTCTAGCTATGTATTACATTTATGTATAGTCTTAGCAATACTATAAACAGGGAAATCTTCGGACCTCTCCTGAATTATTGCATAATTTGCATTGTTTAATTCAAATATGCCATACAAATTGAATTGTAATTAATAATTTTGAAATCAGAGGTTCTGACCAAACTTTTCTGAAAAGCTGACGAGTGACATACCTTAAAAAGATAATGCTGTGTTGAATTTGACATATTTTAAATATCATTCAAGCTATTTTTCATGAAATAAGATTTCATGTAAAATTGCCATGATTACATTTGGTTAAATATGGTAAAGGTTGAAGTGATTAGCCTAAAGGTTACAATTTAAGTATAAAAAGGTCAACTTAATTGTACCATAGCTCAATAAGATGCACACTGACCCCCAATTTTTTTGCGATTTTGAGTCATGCTATATGAGTAGGTGTCTAAAATATACTTTTAAAAAGATCCTTGATATAAATCATGTCAGGAGTGACATATCTTAACAAAACTTTGCCTTGGCGAATATAAGAGGGAGCAACATTGTTTGCAAGTGTGAAAGGGCAAAAATAACCCTGTATACAGTAATAAATTCATCATATATTCTAGCAATGCAGAAATATAATATTTTTTTTTTTATTTTGATATCCTTTTATTTTTTTGAAAGGGATATCTTCTTGCCTCTATCCCATTTCACTGAGACTTTGTGTTTTTCTTCAAGATTTCAACTTCCTCTACATGTACCCTATTTCCCCTTGGA